TGCTTCCAATAAAAAAGTATAGACAATTTTTTCTGCAAATAAAAATGACTAATTAAACTGAGTGTTTGCCTCCATGTCCGAAACGTTATATTTCAGAGGTAAATCTGACACAGAGTTTAATTCAACTTAAAAACCATTTTTGCCTTAAAATTCTAAATATCAGCTTGTTCCATCTAAAATTTAGTGGTTTTTTTAATATAAAGTTTAGGTTAGAATTACTGTAAGTTTTATTTTTTTTATTTATTTAGCATATGGCATATCATACATGAACTAGCAATATAAACATTTCACCTAGATTTTTAAACATAATAAAATAGAAATGTTAAAAATGTCTATGTTCAAATACTAACATCTAGGCCATCTAATCATTGAAGCGCAGCATTGTTTTAATCATTTTATGATTTACACTGTGCTATTGCTGTTGATATTTCTATTTACGTCCACTTCAAAAATAATTTGTCATGACAAAATTGTCATATTTTGGTTAAACTAATTAAAGAAACATGAAAACATAGCCTAATTCTATGGTACATGTAAATTTTGTTCATCCATTTTATACTTGAGTTTACTATTTTTTGCAAGATTGAATCTGGATCAGTCGCCAGGATCTGAGATTTATTTTTTCGAGCTTTTAGATTCGTGATAGAGTCTACCTTCAGGAAATCTCTCTCTACTGGAATGTGTGCTTTGGGCATTGCAATTTGAGGCTACCAATGAGTTCAGGTCTTCTTATCTGACCGCTCACTTCAATTTCGCGGCTAGAAGGTAATTGGCCATGCAGGTTCAAATATAGTCAGGGAAATGATTGAAACCTGGAAAATGGGCCCCTTGTCAGTTAACAGAAGTGCTGATTTACCACCAGCTTATCAAGGGCTTAGCTGAGGGTTTAGCAGCACAAAGAAACAAAAGCCAATCGCCAGTCATCAAGACATGAATCAACCAATAGGAAGGCATTGCATAAATATAACTCAGAAAATAACCCAAAGCATATATTCTAGTAGAGAGAAGTTCCCTGAAGATGGGCTCCATCACAAGTTTGAAAGCTCAGAAGAATAAACGTGTGGTCCCGGTGACCAATCCAGATTCGATCTTGCAACATTATCCTGGGACATGTATAGTTACCATTTTTTGCATTTTTTCTTTTTATAGTGTCTACTCCTTTCCTTTGAAAATGCTTAATGCAAGTATAATTTTGTTAAAAAATATACCTTTTTTTCTCATGATCCACTCTTGATACTATTGAAGTGTCCTACACTCAAAATATTTCATTACTCTTGCATCATTAATTTTTTTCAAATTTTGCTCTCAAAGATGAAATCAGTTATGCTTTTAAATTTATAATAATTCTGACATGAGCATGCATATTATTCCTTTGACATGAATATTATTATGGTTCATCACACAGCCAGATATTTATACTTGATTTGGCATTTTTATCCTCTTATCAATTCCTTCTCAAGAACCTGGGATAGACGTATGTTGTTTGATAGTGTTAAAGGTATTGTTACAGGATGTCAGTTGTTCCAAATGAAGTTGCCTTTTGCAATTGATTGATAAGGATTTTGTCAAAGCCAATGGTGTTCAAGTGGTGCTCCAGGTACTTTGAGATTGCACCAAGGCACCTATCATTATCGGTACTATCTTTGCTTTCCTTTGCCACAGTCCTTCTACTTATATTTGCAGGTCTTTATGGTTTATGATTTTCTCCAGTTCTTTCTCTTCTATTCTGCTGTCTCCAGGTATTGCTACATTCAGACTTTGTCTTCTTTATTGACAGTTGCTAAGTCTTGAGTGTCACATGGCAGGTGCTTGTCTGTTTGAATTAAAATCCCATATCACTTTAGCTTCTTCATCTTCTATTGCTTTATTTTATAGTCCCACCAGCTCTTGCTTGCAAGCAAATAGAATTTCTGGCAGATCTTCCAAAGCAACATTGTTGATACTTTGTCATGCCATTGTTTGTAGTTAGTCTTGAATTATTAAATTTCCACGAATCTCACACTGTGAATCCAACTGTAGATTACCCATGCATAATGATAATAAACTGTTATAGGTACACTGGGTGCCATACCAAAAAATCTTGGACAGCATTTAGAACATGCCTGCATTGACAAAATTTTCATCTGTCAATTATAAAAGGCCAGACCGCTTAGATCCGCACATATACTACACCCATATAGTATAGAATCCGAGATTCTTGGGAAAAACAAGATGCATATGAAGATACCAGCTAAAGAATTGGTAACTGTGATTTCATATTTTCTGTTATATAATAATAATAAATAATAATGCAAAAGGATAGGCTAGGTCAGTGGTTCCCAACCTATAGTCTGTGGATCCCTGGGCAATCTCGATATTGGCATAGGAGAGGGTCCACAAAGGCTGGAAGAAATGTTATGATTTAGAGTTAAGTCTTGGGGGTCCATAGCCATGTTCCTTGGCCACAAAAGATATTTAAAGTGTGTTCATGGTGAAGAAAAGGTGAGAACCACTGGGCTAGGTATTGGTACTTAACCTTGAAGATTCCTTTCATTCAACATTGCTAGCTAATGGGAAAAAATATAGGTAGTCCTCAACTCACAACAGTTCATTTAGTAACCATTTGAAGTTACAATGACCGTTTTTCACACTTACAACCATTGCATCATCCCCATGGTCATGTAATCAAAATTCAGACACTTTGCAACTGACTCATATTTATGACGGTTGCAGTATCCTGGGGTCGTCTCATCACCTTTTATAACTTTCTCACAAGCAAAGACAATAGGGAAGCCAGGTTCACTTAACTGTGTTACTAATTTAACACCTGCAGTGACTCACTTAACTATGACAAGAAAGATTTAAAATGGGGCAAAACTCACTTAACAAGTATCTCACTTAGCAACCGAAATTTTGGGCTCAATAAGTTGAGGACTACCTGTACCTTTATTGCTGGTAGTTTGAAATTACAAGCAAAAGCTGGAGCAGTAAGGAAAGGCTGGCAAATATATTGTCTTTGAAATGTTATAAACAAATTAACTATATTTTTTTCCTTTGAGATGTGCCTAGTATAATCAAACTCAATAAAATAGGCAATAACTCCCAATATTGTTAAATCATATGACTAATAATATTAAGTATTTTGTATTTTGTTCTCCTTAGGTTTCCATCATAGTCCATGTAAGATATCAATTCAACTGGATTAGTGTCAATTTAAAGCCCGCTTCCCTTTTTTCATTCAGCTGGTGGCCTTTGCATAATGAAGCAGAAAACAGACTCTAATGTGTAAAATCAACATCAGAGAAACTAAAATGTAGGACAGGCAATATCCAACAACCAGTTTTGCCTGTCTAGATGTGAAACACTTTGAAGGGTGTGCTCCGTCTTAAAATGTGTCAGTGAAACTGCAAATGTAAGACTACAGTAATGGATCAACAATAAAATAAGGACAGATTAAGCAGGCTGTGTATGTCACAACATATTTGGACATCCGCTGTTCTACACTATCAGGTAACCCAGTTAATTGAAATTCATCATGCATTTTGTTATTGCTTGTTGCAATTCAGAGTATTTATAACTGACAAAGCATTTTGTTATTTATATTCCTGTCCATATAATGATGATCATGTATGCGGGATCAGTAGGGCATCAGTAGGGCTTTTAATCTAATCGTGGCATGCAGCAGGAAGAACTGGGATTTTCACCTGGAAAAACTGGAATCAAACCCAAGCAAAACAAAAATTAAGTTCTCCTAAGGGGAGGGATTCCTCCTCCCAGTCCCCCCCCCCAAATTTCTCAGGCAATTATTGGAGGCAGGATTACTTGGATAAAAAAGCATAAGCATGCAGGAAAAGTCCCTTTACAAACCAGAGAGAATGCCGTTTTAACATTTCCACCTGCATGTATTTATATGATATAACATTCTATTTCAACCCCCTTGTGCTTATAGACATGTCCTCAGAAAGTGTTTGAAATGATCAGTCCTTCATCTATAGTAGAAATTATGTCCAATGCCCATTTTATTATTTACCTTGGAATTTAGCCATGTGAAACTGTGATATAAATTAGATTTTAGCCAGTCGTGGGATTCAAATATGTGAAGAACTGGTTGTCTGTGTGGATGCCCCTTCCAGAAATCCATTCTGGGCCTGGGCAACAAAAAATTAGCTACCGGTTCTGCTGAACTGGTGCAAACTGTCTGAATCCCACCACTGATTTTAGCCCATAAGACACAGGACTGCAAGGAGGTGAGAAGAAAAGGCAATTTCAGCATTTGGACTTTAATTGGCTGACGACTGTTAGGAAAAATATAGTAATCATTTCATTTATTCACATATTTAATTAATTATTTATATTCTGCCTTATCTTCTGACCTAGCTATTTCTGATGTAGCCCATGACATTTTCTGAGCTTTATTTTTTGAGTACATCTTAAAAAAGAAACTTAATTGTCTGCTCATGTTGTACATAAACAAAGTTCTGATGATTCCTAAAGGGATAATTAATTCTTACTTGTCATACCATCATTTAACTAGCTTGCTAGTCAAAACATTATAGGGTACTTTTTCAAATATTTTGCTGAAACAATCTGTTAAAAGTATTTCACAAAAATGAATTTAAGTAATCTGATGAGATTCCTTCTAGTATTTTCTGGCAATTATTATATTATTTTGAAAATATACGTTGGTCAATTATCTTATGATCTACTTTAGAAATTCTTAGGTCCATATCAGATTGAATGGTCTAGTTCGCTGGATCTTCCTTTGTCCCATTTTTGAAGATTTTGTTTGAATTTGGCATTTCATTCATTATGCAAGATCAAAATGTATAAAGTTCAATCAGATATTCAGCAAGTTCCTTCAGTACTCTAAGATGTAATTCAGCTGAAGGAAATCATTAAGTTTCTAACGCATACATCAAAGAATTTAACTAAACAAGTATCTAAAACATCAAGAAATCTAGCTATTGTACCAGTAATAATTTCTATAAATATCTCTATATAAAAAAACCAGAATTTCCAAGTTACACATATGAGTAATATCATTTATTGCAAATCTTAAGAACAGCACAAAACCTAAGCCAAATATGTCCAAAAAAAGAATATGAAAATATCATTTATTAAAATAATGTAATACTTGATTTTAGTGATACATTTTGCAAAATAAAAAGATCCAAATAAATTGCACATAAATTAACTTTTTTAAAAAATATAGATGTTATACATAATGTTTAATTACAGCAGAACAGTGATTCCAGTTAAATAAAATTAAAACCTTTATCTTTTCTCCAGTATAAAATTATTCATGTCTTCAAGCAATATAGCAAAAGCCTTAAATTACATCACCATTTCCACAGTAGTTATCACCATTTTTATATTCCATCACTTTGGCAAAATAAGGTTGTTTTTTTTTAAACAGTGCATAATGTTACAGAAAGTGTATACAACTTCATATTGCACTTTATATATATACAAATAAAATGTAAAAGAAAATAGAGCATTAACTTGGAATGAACATGAATCCATCACAATTGTAAAAGGGTGAAAGTGAGTATGAATATTAAAAATATTTAAAATGCAATACATTTATATAGACCTTATAAGCTGTATTAACAAACTTTTATATTTATTATTTAAGATAATATCATGTAATCACCTTTGATTGGAAGCAAATGCTTGATTCATGTTAAGCTTATAAGCTCTCCAAAATGCCAGTAAATTACAAAATAGAGCACAACTGTTAGTTAACATTATAAAAAGCTACTTCTACTTACATTTAATACCTCTGTTTAGTGCTTATTTAGTCCATAGTGGTTAATACTTTAATCATATGTGCATAACTTCAGCAACACTCTCATAAGTTTGTGTCTACACACATGTTCCAAATCTGCCTACATTGTGCCATTCACTTCATGAAATCCTTATATGATCAGTTTTCCTAAATACTTCTCAGAACATATAATATTGCAAGCATAGTATAAAATATGTGCACTTTTGATGTCTTATTTTCTTATACCTGACTGATATAATAGCTAGAATCTGCATAGTTCTTTCACAATTTTTGATTTTATCCTGAGTTAGCAAGCTATCCCCAAACCCTCTTTTTCCAAAGTTAAGGTACTTTCATGTATAAAACAGTTATGCAATTGAAGAAGAGCTGGGTATCCCATGAACTGTTGTGCTTGTTGCTGTCCCACTAATGGCATTGAAAATGTGTAGTGAGTTGGACATTGCATTGGCCTTTTCTTCCACAGCAGTAATCTTAAAAAGAAAAAAGGGTGTCTTAACACACAGGCTGAGAACACTGTAAAGAATAATAAAAGTTAGGGTATCAGCCAATTATGAATATCCCTTGCATAAATGTAATTTTTAAAATGAGAACAGCATATCATCTATCCCTCTATGAATTTTAGAAAAAGACAAAATAATTTACCTGATGACACCACCCCAATTATTTAAAGGGACTATACATCCCATATACATTATTGCAATGAGGGTTGGCTGACTTCTGTAGTGGCAAAATAGTTATGGATCAATATAAGTCTTTCATTGCCAGTCATAGAAATGAAAGACAATAATGAATTCTGTAGAATGAAGTACATTAAATAAAGCCCACTTCTGTATTGGGCATGTTTGCTATTCCCCCCCCCCCCAAGAAAATAACTTTTTTAAAAAAAAATAAAGCACATTAATCTTATCTGATTGATAATTTTTCAGTTACAAAATAACAAAACAAAACTGGATTTATTGGTTAAGGACAATTTGTAAAGACAGAAATTAGTCAAATAAGATCGAAGGTACTGTAGCTATTTTATTTCTGATATCAAAGCCAGCTCAATTTTTTTGAATAACTGAAAAATATGCTTATATCAATCACAGTTAATATTAACTATTCACATCTGCATAGTATGTCAAGGTATGATTAAACAAAAGTGAAAATAAAAATCAGTGGGGGGGGGAGGAGTCAGCACACAAAATGAACTTTTTCAGAACTTATTTTTGCTTTTGTTATCTAATCATGTACGTTGCAGTTAGCTCTGACTGCAATTCTTACCATTCCTAGTCACAATCACCAGTAATTATGCTGGCTACGGAAAGGGACAACTCAGCAAGAACAGCTCACTGCTGCCAGCTCGCCATTGCCAAGCTGCCTCCGCCAAAACACCACTGCCAAGTTCCACAGGAGAACTCCACATGCCAACTTGCTGCGGGGATAACTTGTTGCAGGCAACCGAAGGAAGAACTGGGTGAACGAGAGGGTGGGCAGAGTGCAGAGCGGCAACGGCTTCCTATTTTCACCTCCCTGGCCACCAGCGCCACTGTGGCCGAGCTTTGGGTCGAAGAGACTGGGGATGGCGGCAGGCAGGACGGGTGATCGGGAGGTGGTGGCAGCAGGGGTGTCTCATTTTCACACCACCTACCATCACCGTCCCTGATCTCTTCAGTCCTAAGTTGGGGTGGTGGCAGAAGAGATGTGAAAATGGGAAGCCTCGCCCACCTGTTTGTTTGCCCAGCTCTTCCTCTGGCCACCTATGATGAGTTGCCCCTCTGAGTTAGCCATGTGTTGTCCTGCAGCAACTTGGCGGTGTTGTGATTCCTCGTCAGCCAGTGAACCCGGCAGCTGAGTCTGGGGAATCAGAGGAGGAGGAGGAGGGGCCTAGAGGGACATCAGAGTCAGAGGAAGGCTCTGAGGAGCTCCAAGATTTACAGTCTGACAAGGAGCCTGGCCCCTCTACTTGTGCTCAGGCTGAGAAACAGCTGTGCTGGGAGGCTGAGTTGGACAGTGATGACTCACAGCTGGAAGATATCCAGAATGCATGTAAATGCCAGCAGGCAAAGAGAGTTGGAGAGAAGAATGCAATGGGGCAGCTCCAAAGGCAAAGGAGAAGGCATTAGGAAGCCATGCCTTGGCTGCATAATAAAAGGGAAGGTGTGGGAGGTGCTGGTTGCTGAAGGCAACCATTTGTGTTAAGGAATCAAGTTTCAGTGAACTGTGTTTTGGTTTGCCTTGGATATTTTACTCAGGTCTGTAAATAATAAAAGGGGATTGTTTTTTTCCTGTGGTTCCAGCCTGCTTGTTGGAAGAGGGGTTTCTCCTTGTGAGCTTAACAAGGACTCATGTAGGCTGGGACGGAAAAGGCGGCAGTGAATTGGCAGAGGCAACTTGGCGGTGGTGAGCTGGCTATGCTGAGCTGGCCATGCAGAGTTGTCCTATATCCTGTTGGCTAGGGATGTCAAGAGTTGCAGAGAACAGTATCTTGAAGTTATTTGCTTGGGGAAGACTGCCTACACTACCTGTACGGTAAACTAGGGCTAGAGAATGAATAATTACTACATTTATTAGAAACAAATTGAATATGTAATATAAACAAGGATAATTTGTCTTGTGTTAAATAAAATGTAACTAAAAGACAACAGAAAACTAGAAAGAAACTAAAAGACATTACCATCCCAGCTGATCACATTTTCAAAGCAGCACAGGGAAAAAGAAAAGGAAGAAAGAGAGATGCCCATTAAGGTTTCTACGGAATATGATAACACTTTTCTCAAAGAAAATTTGTTTAATTTCTTTAATATGTATTTAGGAAAGCAAAATAGATATTTAAACTTTGCAAAAAAGGAGTAAACCCATTAAAATAATAAGATAAAAATGTAAGATATTTCAATAAGAGATCAATAGATGTTGATTCTCAACTTTTTTAAAATACAAGATTATTATTTCATAATTGGAAGTCTCTAAGAGCACTACATAGAGACAATTGAATGGTTTAAATCTTCCATTTTGCAAATCTCATGAGAAATTGGTTGCTCTATTCCAGGGGTGTCAAACTGCCTGCCCGCGGGCTGGGTGCGTCATGCTGAAACCGCACGCATCCCATTGCCAGCAATGGAAAAAAGTTGCGATATGTCGCAACATGTCACATGACGTTGCGAGTTTGACACCTCTGCTCTATTCCCTCCTGAAAGCTTGAGAGATTTTCATAAACTATTGGCATTCAAGCCAGCCACCACCCACAGTGTCTGCATCATGCACTGGGGATCAGATATATTAAGAGTGGCTCCAATTATAGCAGGATTTAAATTGCTTTTAGAAAAGCACACAGGGGTTGCATAGCAGTAATGGCAGGTCCACCCTCCTTGTAGCAGGTCCAACCTCCAATGTGATTGTCTGAATCCCATTCACACATTCATGAACAAATATATGCAGATTTTTCAGACATAAAACACTCCCTTCTTTTAATGCTTCCCCACATAATAATTAGACTTACAATTAACTATTGCTTTACAGTACAAGACAAATACTTAAAATTTGTTAATATAGTACAGTTCCAGTGCAGGAGTGATTAATATGGAGAAGTCTGCAGGCATTTAGAAGAATAACACATTTTCACCAACTCTCTTTGAAAATGGTCCTCCACGATACAAAGTAGAGAGATTTTTTAAAGTGGTATCATCAGATTGCAAAGTAATAAAAAGTTGTTCTCATATCTAAATATCTCCTAATCATAAAAAAAATTAATTCTCTGCCTTGACTTGGGGAAGAAAGTGGTGGGCTGAACATGACTGTTGGCAATTTGATCCATGCTACAAAGATACTCTGTGCCTATTGTAGGAACGTGATGTTTTTTTAAATTACCTTGTATGTTTAATTTAAACATGTCAAGAAATAGCAAACATATACAGTGTGCTATTGCTGAACACGTGCTTATATGTTGTACAAACATAGTATTGGCAGAAAAGATTAATTTTATTAAGAAGCTGATAACAGAAATGTGACTAATGGCAATCTACTGTTACTGAGTATTTATGCTGCAAATGTTACTATAGTTCATCCTAGTGTCTATTGTTTATTTCCTAGCAGGACAGTATTGAGAAAAGTGAAAGAAAAAGAAAGTTACCAAACTTATTTTTATGTCAGCTTTAAGGGAAAAACTAAAATAAGGCACAACCTCTCTTGTTCAAGTGTCTTTTTTAAACTATATAATTTATGTTTTTATCTGCACTAGATAAACACATACAATCAAGCAAACAAAAATTAAGATTAGGCAAACTTTGACAACTGGCATGGAGATATGCTTCTTAACCATAGGATAATCTAGAATATCTTGAATGAGGTTCAGTACATACTTGCTCATGCATAATTTCAGAGAGTTCTTTTGCCATCTCTCTATAGTTAGCTTTCATTTCTTCTTGATATTCTATCTGATCTTCTTTTATAAGTCGTTCATTTACTTCTAGAGCCTGCCCACAAGTTTCAATAAATTGTCTGAAATGAAAATGAAGTAAAACAAAATGAAGTTAAAAGCATTCAAGTATCTTATTTCCAAGAAAAATATATTTTCAGAGTGTTTACCTGAAAATTTCCTTCAATGATTTGACTTTATTGTCTGGATATCTTTTGGTGCTTGTATCATCCAAGAAAGCTCTTGCATATGCTAATGGACCAGCATTAACCTAAAACAAAAATTGCTGTTCATTAAATTAAGTTTTTTTTCCCTCTTGTAATAATATTAGATGAATGTCCTGAATCTCCTACGATATATATTATACTCTATGGAAAAATAAATAATGTCACTGACAATTGGAAGCATTTTTCTAACTAGACAGAAATTCTGTTTACCCATTACCAATCACACAGACACAAGTAGTAGAAGGGGAAAATCCATAGCTGGGAATCTGTTCAATGCCTCATACAACTCTTGTGTGATTTAGAATAGGATGAAGTGTTCCATCTGAATAAGGCTACTTACAAAAAGGATGTCTCATTGTAAGACACAGTGTAACTCAATGTAGACCAGGTCAAATCCATTCCTCTTTTTTTAGATTAGATTTAGATTATTTAGGTTATTATTTTAATATAATAGATAGTAGATGTTGAATAATAAAGGAAGGAAAATGGTTTAGTGGTTAAAAAATAAAGGAAATATACCGAATGAAAAATGTATGGCACTTACCTGGACACTAACACTACCCTGCAGCTTTAATTGAAGTTTAATCATATCAACTTCAGTTGATGAACAAAGTTGCCGGAGTTCTGCATTTTTTTTATTCATTTCATCAATGGCTACTTCAATTGGATTTAAATCTTTGTATTGTTGATACATTATGGGAATCCGCTTTTTTACATATGGAAAACAATTTATAACTAGAGACAAAAAATAATTAATATGATTAAGTATGTGGTTAATTTCAGTCACAAAGTTTTGAAAACAAAACACTATTTTTAACTGTTAATGTAATTCTTTTTATATTTAGATTTTGCCTAAAATGCACATTCTAAAAAAATCACATTGGAAATTAGTGCTTCTTTTTGTGTCACCTCTGCAGAAAATCCTTGAAGAGCAATTAAGTATCAAGAAATGATGTAATGCTTTTTTAAAAAAATCCACTCCTTATTTAGCTTTTTTCCCATGAAAAGTGCTGCTGCTAGATTTCAGATCCCAGTTGCAAAATGATGAAACTCCAGGTAAAAGCATTTAAAAAGCTATGGTGATGTCAAAATGATCTTATAAAAACATCATGATACTATCACACAGATGCCCATATAAATGCCCTTGATCATGTAATCCCCTATAATATTTCAGCTATATACTGGATACCAGATTATTTCTTGGTGTAATTATATCCTTTAAGGTCATAATAGCTGTGACTAAAGTAATAAAAAAGTCTCCTTCCATGTTAGTCTGCATATTGTAAGATGAACCTATTGTACAGCACTCTGAGTCAAAAGGACTAGCATGAGAAGATTATAATCCTACTTTTCCTAAAAGGTTAGATTGCTTTATTTTTTTCTTTCTTCTATCAATGCTATGCATTTCTTTTTTAAAACAAAATGATTCTACTGCTGCTAACGTGTATTTTTTTCCTGTATGCTTTATCCTTTGTACTTCATGATACTTTTTCTTGATCAATTATTTTTTCTTGATTTTACTGTTGTTCATTTCACTAATTTTTCATTTTTATTTCTTGAATTGTGTTTTTTACATTAATTGATTTATATTAATCAGCTAGTTCAAGTATAGTAAAAATTGAGAGCAATTTACAGATTGTCATCTAAGAAACCAGGATGTTTTGGTTTCTTGCTGTGAAAGAAACATCTCTAAAGTTATCCAATCTTACTTGAGCAATCAATAATCATGGTGCAAGAATAGTCATGAGTCAGCATATAAGCTGGCCTTGACATATTAATAACTGAACTTATGGCAATTGAGAGGCAATAAAAACCAAGTTCTGTAGCAAAATCAGCTCTTTGTAGGGTTACATTTGTTTAAAAGGACAGGACATGAATAAAAGATGAGACTCGAGCATGCTTATAATGTGAATGTCTGACATATTACCATAAATCAAAAGGAATTTAAAAATGTGAAAACACACAAAATAATCTTTTCCACTAGAATTGTTGCAAATGATGCTTTAATGCCTGATTTAAAGGATCAGACTTTAAGAAACCTAGGTAGCCTCTTCCAGAGAGAGAAAATATGAACTATAAAATTCAAAATAACACTGTCTTGGCTTAGAACATTATAGAAGTAATCTGTATTTATCACAGAATGCTCTCACTACAGAGCTATCATCAATCCCAGCATAACTTTTAGTGAATGTATTGGGATGATAAAATACTATTTTCATAAAATGATACCTACTTTTGCAATTGTAAAGTGGTATCTTAAAGCATATATAAAATCTAACATTGTCTGGTGATTTTTGACTTGGGGGATTGGTACTAATTGTAGTTGCTATTAAATAACACATCATATTAGCTCAATCCTTACACCCTGTTTGCACTGCCTCTCTAAGATCCTAATAAAACATGAACTACATTCATATTTATAAGAATGTGACTCTAATTTCCTTCAGGATTCCCAGTTAAACAGTTCAAAGTCAGCATAAAAGTAGAATAATGTTTACAGCATCTCATGTATTGTATTAGTTTCCAACACTCATAAGTTCATAAAAGTGCCTGAATAGTTAATATGATTGTTTCAATCTTACATATCCTTGGTAGAAAAAAAAAACCTATACCAATTTCCTGCAAAACAGAATTGAGAGTTGGTAAGACATAATCACATCAAACCTTTAATAAGACAGAGATTGCTGTAAAATTTGAGGGGAAGAAAATAAGTTCAGTTTGGGGGCGGATGGGTGACAGGAGAAACAAGTGCTGCATTTTCTCTGCACTACCTGTAAGAATGATGCGTCGTTTACATTGCTCTTCCACTCCACCTCGTCTTTTACCCAGCTGAGTAAAAGGCATCTCAAACATAAATCGGCGGATATTGTGATTTCTTTCAAACTCCGTTTTTCTCTCCTGCAATTCCTTTTCTTCAAAGTATGGAACTACATGTGTAACTTGAATATAAGCATATTTTGAGTCCAAATCCTTAGGATTTACCTTCAAAAATTGTAGATAATACAATGGTGTTATGAATATATAATTGGTTATTATTTTAAGGCTTGATGTAATACTTTCATGACAATTAAAAACATACTATTTTGTGGGAAGATTGACATAAAAACTTTGACGTATTCAGTAGTACTACTAAGCTCAGCCTAGCTTTATTACAATTATTGAACCAAAGTCTTATTTTATTTTATTTAAGCAATAGCAACAGAAGATATGGTTCAATTTATTTATTAGGTTTACTATATTTAGATTTTGTTACAGCTTCTTCAGTTCTTAATAAAATAATATGTAGTCCTACTTTGTCAGAATCCTGGATCATCCTGACATTTTCAGATCCAAATTTATCTGAGTAGAGCTTTTGTAGCCTCTGGGAAATTTCTGAAAGAGATGTGAGCTTAGGTTCTTTGTAAATATATTCTTTTCCATCCTCATCTTCAAAGAATCCCTTTAGAAAAAAATTACACAGAATAGTTAAATTCTGATCATATAAATATTCAATATTTAATGCAAAGTCAGTCTTTAATGTCAAGGATGAAGGAGAAAAAATATTGAAGAATATAAAGCAGTGAGAATGCATTAATGAATATACACCGCTATGTAGTGAATGTTGTAATTATATGTGATGTTAAGGTTAATGTTTTCAGGAACATACATTTTTTCCAAAACATTGTTCGTATGCCTGTTTCACATACCAAAGCATTAGCCCATGCTTAAAATGTTTGCGTTATTTTGAAGTTTCATCACGTCATGCAGTACAACCCAAGTTAATTTTAAATCAAGGGTTAATTTAACTGAATTCTGTCTTATTTTTTGGAAATGCTATAGATCATCATTGTTCACATACATGTGATTTATTTATTTATTTTGAATAGGTTCCATGGAAGGTGAAACAGGTGTTTTCATCTAGAAAGCCGATCTTTTGTTTTATAAATTACAGAAATAAATATCTGTATTTGAAAATGAAATGGTGCAGGGAATACAACATAGAATGTTTAAAATGCAGACTAAATTGACAACAATATCCACACCAGATTAAGCTTGTATGCAGTAATTTTTACTGCACTGCTCATTTTAAAAACCAATATTTGTAATTACCTCCACATCTGTTTCACTGTCTGTAAACTGGTATTGCTATAGTCATAAGAGACAATAGAATAAATGGAGCGTTATATGTTTCAGTCCTGTCGTAATTTAATTTCTATCACCAACACACATTTTTCTCCAATGTGCACATATATTTATATACACAATTTACTTTATTTGGTTGCAAAGGAAAAATATATATATCACGCTAAATTTGTGAGTATGCCTAAGTACAGAGACATGTTTTCCAAGTGAAATTATATATTTTCATAAAAACAGAGAAAAAAAACTTATCCAGATCAGAACACCAAGTAATATGAACACCAAGTAATATGTTTAATAATTTTATATTGATATTATTAGAAAACTTACCGCTGCCTTAAGAAAGTAATCATAAAGAAAAAAGAAAAAAGCATAAAGTTTACTGATGAAAAGATTATCCTTTCCAGAATATAATTGTTAGTTCTATACACATTAATTGAAAGTACATGCACATAGAAAGAGACACAACAGATTTTAAAAGCATGCTATTAGGATACAGGTAGACTTTGCTTAACAACTGCCCTGCTGTTTAGTGACCGTTCAAAGTTACAATGGTGCTGAAAAAGTAACTTTACAACCAGTCCTTTACAACTTTACAACCATGTTCATGATCATTGCAGCAGCCCTGCAGTGACATAGTGAACATTTGGGCACTTTACAATCAGCAGGAATTTACAACCGTCGCAGAATATCGGCAGATATTCACAAGCAGCTTCCAACAAGCAGACTCTCTGGTGAAGGTGGCAGTAAAATTGCAAGTCACTCTCATGTGTTGTCTCACTTAACAATTGGGGTGAGTTGTTTAACGACTGAATGAGAAGTGACGGATGTCCATCACAATCATATCATGTTTCATTTAGCGACTGCTTAGTGATATAGTTGCCAGTCTCAATTGTGGTTGCTAAGTGAGAGCTACCTGTATATTGCATTCTTTCAGATGTTTAGTTGGTACTGTGGCAAAGGCAGAGAGTGCTCACCTGTCCGAAAAAGGCAACTCTGAAATACGTTCCCAACAATCTCTTTCCTGTGTGCATAACTTCGGTAACTTTGCTATATGCCCGGTGCAATGTGTCATAGAGATGAGCTAACTTCTAAAAATAGATGGGAAACATTTTTGTAAATAAAGACATGAATATATTTGGGTTATGAGAAATAGAATAAAATGTATTATCTACTCAAGTTTTAAAAATTCAAAACCAGGTTTTCTTAAAATAGAACAAAAAAGGGTTTCATGTTAAATTAACTTTTTAAATTACTAGCAGTGATGTCTGTTGAAAAATCCAATGTTCCCAGTTTCATTAAATTAGGCAGGACTATATAGCAACTGAATAAATTAACTGTAATCACCTCAAGTCTATAAAGATGTATAGAAAAAAATAGTCCTCTTAATATGAGTTTGATAGTTGAGGTAGTCCTCAACTTAACAACCATTTGTTTAATGACCATCTGAAGTTACAACGGCACTGAAAAAGTGACTTATGACTATTTTTCACACTTATCACCATTAAGGCATCCCCACAGGCACACAACCAAAATTTGGATACTTGGCAACTAACATGCATTTATGACAACTGCAGTCTCCTGGGGTCATGTGATCACCTTCTAACAAGCAGAGAAGCCAGATTCACTTAACAACTGTATTACTAACTTAACAACTGCAGTGATTCATTTAACAATTGTGGCAAGAAAGGTCATAAAATGGGGCAAAACTCACGTAACAATTGTCTTGCTTAGCAATGGAAATTTTGGGCTCAACTGTGGTCATCAGTTAAGGATTACCTATGCACATATTTGGAGGGTGGGGAGATTGGTAGCAATATGTAAGTGCCATTGTTATTGTCTTTTTTCAGGATTTTTTTTTCTCTTTCCAGTCTAATGTACAGCCCTGGTGTTTCTCTTCAAGTACAAGTAGTCCCCAAGTTACAACCCTAATGGAGTTCTGCTCATTAGAGTCTGAGGACAAAACAATGTTTAAATGAACTGCCTCAAGGAACAACCAGAGGACAAGTAGAGTGCAGCTAGGACTTAAAAGTCTAGTCCATTGTTTCTCAATCTTGGGCATTTTAAGATGTGTGGTCTTCAACTCCCAGAGTTAGCAAAGGGTCACCACCTCCAATATGCACTATATAAATATGACCAAAAAAATGGCATATACCCACATATATTTTATGACACAGAGAAGCTTTGCTTTGCAAGGTCCCCATGGACAGCTAATGGGCGGACAGCTGAACAGCAGAGAAAGTTCTGCAAGCAGCTGCCATTTCGGTAAGAATTGTGGGGGTGCTGCAAAGGATGACGGCTTCTAGGAGGCATGGGAAGCAGGGCTAAGCACTGCAGGGGATGATCCCAATCCTCAGTAGATTTTTTTAGGGTGTTGTATAGCATGATTTAGCTACTGTGTGTGATAACTTGCAGTACATGTTTTCTATCCTCATTCTAAATAGAAAAATAATATTGGCCTATTTTAGAGGGCATCGGAGATAACTTCTGAAATAGAAAAGTGTATTTTAAGAAAGTAAAGAACTGTTTTTTGTTTTGTTTTTTCTTCGTTGACATAAGTATTTCAGATTTATTTACTAAACTATGTGCTCAACTATGAAGCCAACCTGTTGCCTAAGCAATGCAGGTGATGGCACTGCAGCATCCCCACATTCTTTCAAAGTCTGGCATAACCTTGAAACAGGTTGGTGTGTAGTTCATTGTTTTGAACAGTTGTTTAATGGCCTGTCATTTCTCGAGGATTACCTGTATAACCAAATCTGATCCCATGGTCAGCTAGTTCTCAGAACTAGGCATTGTTTTTTTACATAGTTGAATATACTACATCATTAAATAGTATCAAAACAAGTCTTTGAAGTATTTATAGATTTAAATTAATACCTCAAAATCTCTTCGTTTTTCATAAACAGGAATTATAAGTTTAAATATATCAGCAATCAGTTCATAACGTTCAGCCTTCCAAAGACCATCTGCACATTGTTCTAATAATTCCATCAATATTTCCTAGTTACAGAAAGGATGACAAGCAAATTGTCATTAATAGAAATTAAGATTTAGCAGTCTTTATGAAGGAAAAATAAAATTATAGATGCAATTTTTACATTATTAATGAATTTATCTATCTCATATTTAAGCAATACCAATATACAGCAAATATTCTAATAAAATTTTGTTCCGATATTCAAGAAACAAACAGGAATGACAATTAACATTCAAAATGTATTTGATTTATATTTTTAACTCAGTTTGATCTTTGTTTGATCAATATAATGCAGAACATAACATTCAATGCTATAATTTTAATGTAAATTAAAAGAATTTTCCATTTACCTCCATTCCCTTAGAAACAGAATAGCAGAATCACAATTATTACCTATTAAATTAACTGATAACATTCCTAATAGTGAGCTTTCGTGTTGATTTATCATCAACTTGATATCAGTATTCCTAGAACACATACATATCTTTAATAGGGTCTAGAGTTCATGCGATTATCATAAGATAAAGTTCATGAGTTAAAAATGGGCTCAGCAGAGTATGTGCAATAATTATCAGTTAAGCAAAGCAATTATTCCCTATGCTGCAAAATGTTATAATCTGAAAATAATAAGGAGAAAGATCAAATCTTTTTACAAAAAGATCAAATCCAGATATTTTTCTAGAATAATTGATGGCAATCAATGTTGTTGTTATTTTCATGTAGGTAGCATGTTTACTTATTCATACAAACTATTACTAGATCATATAACAGAAGCTGCTTTAAGTTAAAACATTTTTAAATACAATATAGCAAATTATGTTTGAAACTATATGCAGTTTTAAAAATATGGAAATGTGAAATTTTCATATTTCTTACAGGTTGCATTAGCCTTGTCAAATCAGCTAGGTAAATTAACATGATAGAAAACCATCAAATCTGAGCTTGGTTCCTTTGTGGTTTCATTCTCTCAACTGTGAAATATGATACATTATTTCTTATATTTGGTAGTGAAGGATTTTAAGCTTGTTTTATAGTTTGTAAAAAGGTGAGTTTTAAAGGATTTCACTGACTTTTCCAGAGTCTCTTTTTAATTTTCAAAGCATTTTTCTAAAAAAAAGTTCCCTGATTTATGATTGTTTTTAGCAATAAATGTACAGCTTAGGAACTGTAATAAATAAATGAATTAAAAATGTAATGTTATTTGACAACTCTATTTGAACTAGTCAATAAAACAGATATTTCAGATGTAGAAAACCAAAACTTGTAAGTATCTATAAACTAAGTTTGCATACTTCATTAAAGTGAACCCCTTGCATTCCCACATCTTCCATCATTGAGGCCTCTTCATCTATATTTGGAGTGATTACTCTGAAGCTGCTACAACCTTGTCTAAACATTCCTAAATGTATAGGAAAAACATGAAGAAAAATGCATAAATTAATCTTAAACAATTAGAGAGAGAAAATCTAAATCCCACAGATGAATAAAAATCGTCTGATAGCTATTGGTAAATAGTTCAGTTGTGAGTTTTGTATAATTGTGTCATGATATATTGAGAAAGCAGTATTATCAGATATTGGGAATATTAAAACTATTTGTAATATTTTCTTCCAAAAAACGAGCAGTTCAGCTGACTGCTATTCTTGAAGACTACAAAACAGAAACATGGAATTAATTCATGGTAACCAAAACAGCAACAAGGAAATTTGGGCAAAGGACCGACCTATCAGAAAGGTGTCTGAGTCTCAAGCTGATTCTACAAGGATACTTACTAGCTAAGTAGCAGTCCATGATCTTTCAAGACTGACTGAACAATGGAAAGTCCTTTTATATGATAGGCAATTTGGGAGGTGGGTGGCAGGTGGGCAGTATTAAGGTTCACTCTCACCCAGAAATACAGGTATTATAATCTTACTGTCATAGCCAGAACTGTGTGAATTGTCTCTGACATATCATGGAGTGGCTTTAAGCATTATGGCTGCATCAAGTGGAAAATAGTTGTGAAAATAATGCCTCAGTTTCAGTTATTTTCCTGCAAATTTTATAGTTAAGTAAAGAGAAGCATCAAATTTTGGAGAATAAAAAAAAAACAGTCTTCTCCTCTCTTGCTTTTATGATCTACACCTCTCCATTATCTTTGCCACAACTGCCGTCTAATCTGCTTTGACCTATATTTTCTTATTTTAATATTTTAATATACAGGTAGTCCTCAACTTACAACAGTCATTTAGTGACCGTTCAAAGTTACAATGGCATTGAAAATAGTGACTTATGACCATTTTTTACACTTATGACTGTTGCAGCATCCCATGGTCACTTGATTTACATTCGGATGCTTGACAACATATTTATGACGGTTGCAATGTTCAGGAGTCATGTGATCCCCATTTGCAACTTTCTGACAAGCAAAGTCAGTGGAGAAACCAGATTCTGTTGGAATATTCATGAGCAGGAAGAGTCATGTGGTAACTCAGTCAGCCAATATGAAGAAAGTGCTACTGAGTCTGTGCAAAAGGGTATTGAGTTAGGAGCTGAATTTTCAGTCTCAGGTTTGTCTCTGTATCTCTCTGTAAGAAGTCTTCATTAAGCTATGTTGCTGTAAAGAAGAATGTATGGTATTGCAAATATTTTGATATGAATATAAAAAAGGTTATTTGAATCAGCTAAATGCAGTCAACTGTGAGAGCTTCTGATTTATTTTTTCACCAACAGAGAAATTAAAATTCTCTAACAGATTCACTTAACAACCATGTTATTAATTTAACCACTGCAGTGATTCACTTAACAAATGTAGCAAAAAAAAGTTCTAAAATGAAGCAAAACTCACTTAACAAATTTCTCACTTAGCAACATAAATGTTGGGCTCAATTGAGGACTATCTGTATAGGCTTCTCAGGGAATACACAGCCTAGGTTTTTACATATGGAAATGTGGCAATGTCTCAAAAACTACTAATCCTCACTAGATTCTTTAGGATGCTGTGTAGAGTGATTTAGCTATGTGATGACTTGCAGTCAATATTTTCTACCATCATTCTAAATAGGAAAATAATATTGCCACATTTCAAAGGGCATCTTATATAACTCCTGAAATAGAAAAGTGTGTTTTACAGGAAGAACTGATTTTTATTTTGTTTTTTTCTATGTAGCCTTAAGTGTTTCAGATTTATTTATTAGACTACATGATAACCTGGGTGCTGAACTATGAAGTCAACTCATTGCCTATGGATACTATGAATTTTAAAAATAACATTTCCTAGGTTTTTTGAAAAGGCTGCCATGAATATAATAAACTAACATTCTGTATTATTTTTAATATATTTTAAAATATTTTACTGCCCAAAAATAACAATGATGCATACCTTTCCGTAGAAGGTATTCAGCCACCAAAGCTGCTACATGAACATAGCACATTGCTGCCTAGATTATGAAAAGAAAGGACAATAATGATAAATTCGGGATTGTAAAGTTCAAGTAACGGAAGAGGCAAATGATGTTTAGCACTAAGCTATTTATTTGTTCAGGAAGGTATTTCAGAAAAAAACACTATTTCCGTAGATAAAAGTTTCTTTTATGTTCTTCAAAGGCAAGTATATAGATAATGCAACTTTCTTCTTAAACTGAAATGAAGCTTCCCACATTTTAACAATCTTATTTAAAAAAGATTTAATTACTTCAACTTTTAAAAAATTATGAAACCAAACTATGAGATCACTTTAAGATACTTTTTTTTGGCTTACCTCTGAAAAATCTCCATTTTTAACATGAATTTTTGCCATGCTATCCAACCAGGTTTTCCTGAGCTCAGGCGTACTAGCGTAAGACTTGGCCAGACTATACTGAAGATCCACTAGCATTTCTGGATCATTTTCATGTTCTTTCATTTGTGCAGTAGCCATTAGGACTGTACGGATGCGTTTGGTCAAATCTTTTACATCAGAAGGAAAGGTAGTGTGCTATAATTGAAATAATATGATAAATAATATGAGCACAAACAAGGGCCACAAAAGATGAGTAAACTGCAATGTACACATCCAATATAGATAGAAGTCATCTTTAGGCATTTGCCTGAATGCAAATAGATGAAAAGCAGAGGGAAGCTGGGTGAAAATGCTGGTTCCACTCCATACTCTATTCAACTTGCATATGTTAAGTTGTACTCTGAAGAACACAACTCTTTGCATGATTCAGAACCCTGCAGTATTAGAAATTCAACATGCAGATATTCTAAATACATTTAAGGGATTTCACGTAAAACCTCTCTTTGACTTCTTAGCTAACATTGTGGATTTCACAGTCAATAGAGACTCCTGCAGTAAATAATCAGAGTTGTAAGTTCATTTACTATTATGCTGGGTTGTAAAGTTATAAACTGGTTCACAAATCTTTATCAGAGTTACAGCACTGAAATTTCAGCCAACAGTCCATATTCAGCATCAGACTTCAAGGGATGAGACTGTGAAATATAAAGAATGATGAAACGGAACCTTGACAAGAACAAATTTATTTTTGAATTTTCTCACTGTTTGGAGATATTTAAGGCTCCAAATGTCAAAGATTAACTTTGTCAATATGGTAAATTTCTCTCAGTAAGACTGAATTTCCATATGCAAAGTAGTTTTGGAGTCCACAGGATGTAGTAAAACTGACTGTACTGCTGTTGTTCAAACCAATATATAGTACTTGATATAAACAAATTTCTAGAAGTCTTAGTGTGTTGCTTCCCCTCAAATACAAGAAGCTTAGATTAAAGCAAGCCAGTAAGAAGTGTAACCATCTGGATAAAGGGGAATAAACTTCCAAAAGTAGTTTGCAAGTTCCAAGTACCTGAGTAATGTCAATTGACAAATTCTACACTCCACATTTTACAAACCTTAATATATTTGTCACTGTTTGCACAGTTATTAATAATGGAAAGGGACTGCTGAAATCTGGTTCCTCCAATTCCAGCAACATCTGCAATCAGCTGACTCACAGAAATGATAACCTATTAAGATGCAAAAGCACAATTTTGGTTACTCATCAATATCCAAAATTCAAGAATTTGTAATTCATCTTATAACTTCAGCATGAAAGCATATAGTAAAATTTAAATTAGCAACCATAATTTTCCATACAAATATTGCTTTTAAAACAATTTCAGCCAACAGCAATTGCTTTCAAAGAAATATTCATACCAGAAAGTAGGGTATTTATTTTTTCCTGCTATTTAACATTTATTTCTGCAAATATCATTGTCACATTATCAAGTTATATCAAATCTTACTGAAATTACAATTTAAAGACAGAATTTTAAAATGGATGAAATAAATTGATTTTCCAAATGATTTTCAAGAAATTAAAAATATACATGAAGTAAAGCTAAGTAAAATCCTGCCCTGAATATATCTGACCATAAACGGTGTGTGCCAAATATCAAAGTTGGGTTTCCTGCAATGAAATATCAAAATGCAAAGCTTCCCTTCCATTCTCCCAAAAATCTTTGCATTCTTGAAAAGGGAATTGCGTGATCACTAAAGCATCAAGTAAGGTAGCCTATGCTATACCACATAAAATCTATTCTGCAAACTGAATGTCAGTTAGCAAACTAAGTATCAAAATTACCCCAAATTTTTACAAAGAATGATGTAAATATAAAACATAGTGCTTGATTAAGGATTATTCTTCAATATTTGCTGTATATGATAACAGAGTAACACGTGATAGAAAGTATGTCTGTTTTCATGTATAGATTTTTGCATTATCTCCATGTATTTTAGTAAAGATAAACTCAGTTTAAAATCTTCAGAAATTTAAAGATAAAGGTTTATTACTTTTTCTTTATGAAACAAGTGAAACAACACAGTATACTAACCTGTAAATGTGTCCTTACAAATGATCTCTTTTTAGTATAATCAAAATTATTCTTCATTAAGAAATAAAGGAGCTGTGATGCTTCAGTTCGAATTGAACTTAGTTTGGAATTGCAGCACTTTAAAATTTCACAGCATAGTGAAGAACACATATCAGCTCGCCCTTCATAAAATGTAGAAGGGAACTGTAGAGCAGAAAAAAACATTTATTCTGTTAAGACCAATTTAATAAAACTAGAATGAAATCAAATCTTAATCAAAATAACATGTTTTATATTTCTAAATGGACTTCCACATTTACTAAAGTTGAGAAAATAAAAATAATGTGGAACATTAGACAGAAGAGAAATTAATTAGCATTTAGGCTTATATATCATCCCATAGAACTTTGCAGCAGTCTCTGGGCGGCTCAAAAGGTAGAAACATTATTTGCATACTTCCCCCAACAATCTGGGTCTGGTTATTCTGCCATCTAAAAGACAGACCTTGACATCTGGAACAGAAGTATCTTTTGATTTAACGTGTAGATCTATGATATGAGGAAAAACATTTAACTGATTCCTAACATTTAGAGAAATAAATAAAAGGTGAAATCATACAGCAATATAATATACATTATCAAGGAAATAAAATTCAAATTACTTACCTTAAAAATTAATGTCCTCAAAGCATTGAAAACATTTTTTAAAGCTGTTTCTGACTGATTCTTTTGTAGAAAGCAAATGTATACATCAAATACTTTTTTCATCAGAGGATTATGACCATCATCCTTCAGCAACTGATTCTTAAAATTAAGAATATGTGTATTTTTAAAAAATTGGAATTATTTACATTAAAGCATCTATATAGAGATCTGCTAATCAATTATCTTCACAAAGAGCTGCATACAAAACTATTTCATAAATTCTTAATTACCACCATAAGCCAAATTTGCAATATCCTGATTAACAAAATACTGATATATTATCAAGTAATATTTTCAAAAACTTTATTTTTGACTAGAGCCAGAGGAGTGTACAGACTGTCCTTGACTTACAACCAAAATTTGGAGCAGAACTTGTGTTGCTAAACAATGCAGTTGTTAAATGAGTCATGCCCAATTTTGCAACCTTTTTGCTGAAGTTGTTAGGTGAATTTGTCTTCTATCATTGACTTTGTTTGTGAGAAGCCCCCTGGTTTCCAATGGCAATCACATGATTTTAAGATATTGAGAACATTGTAAAGCACCCAAATTATGATCACAGGACCACAGGAATACTGCAACGGTTATAATTGCAAGGATTGCGGGGTGTAAATATTGCGGGTTGTAAATAACTTTTTTCATCGCTATCATTACTTCAAATGGTTGTCAAATTGTTGTAATTCAAGGACTACCTGTATATCAGCTTTTGTGTACCCAGTATTAGTTTTGATTTGTCTGTCTGAATAGCAATTTGACTTACTATGTGCCACTGCACGTAGCCAACATTTTTCAAAGCAGTTAGTAGTAGTAATTATATTAATAAATAGAAGCGTTGATTAATACATTAATTGCTAAAATTTCAGTGTGATTTTTATCAGATCTTCGAGAGAAGGGATAGAACAGGTTTTAAAATATTACATGATATAATACAGAAACAGAACTTTTAGGAATACCAGCAAAGAAACCTAAACACAATTGTAAAAGAAAGTTCTGGAGCAGAAATATTTCTATCTATAAAATACTGTTTTTAATTTTTGTAGGGAAAAAATTAGTACACAATTGTACATATCTAAAACATACCTTAAATGCCACTGTGAACAAAGATAAAGTATTCAGAATCGTAAGACCCACTTCAGTGGCAATATTGGCTTCAAGTAAGGACTGGTGAAGAACATCTGCTTCTGAATGGCCATAACCTGCATAAATTTGAAGTAGCTTTTATTTGGAACAATTTTATTTCAATTAAGTGGTATTTATGTTACAGAATAATAGAGCTGGAAGTATAGATAGTAAAATTAACAAGATAATGCATGTAATATAATCCATTTACCATTATTTCCATATTTTCCAGAGAAATTTAATACTAAAGGGAACAATGTATTTATAGTTCCCTAAACAGTAATATATCTATTAATAATTCTAGATTACTTTGAGTTTTATATCTTTCAGAAAATGTTCTCAAAAATTATGACCAACACTCAAATAGACCCATAGGGATATTTCTAAATCTGTGACTTGTCTTTTCTTTTTTATTTAACTAGAAAATGAAGAGTAGATAAGAGTTGAAGATTCAATATTTATTTGTTTATATACAAAAATCTTTTTGCTGCTCACAGCATAATTTTTAGACAACAAGAGACAGTCGCCTTTAGAAGAAAGTTTTTAAATTTTATTAAATTAAATTTATTAGTGTTATTAAGAAGCCTCTGAAGATAAATAATTTTACTTCAAATATTTAAATATATTTAATTATATTAAAGATAAAATGAAAGAAGAGTTGTTTTATTGTCTTGGGAAATATTAGCAATTGAGCTGCAACAGAGTTTGAGCAATTCTGGCCTGAGGGAGATACTGGTTTCGTGCCTAAACATCTAATGATCAAGAATTACCTTGGTTTTTTTTTTTTTTTACATAGTTAAAGTTATTGCCTTATATATAATCAAAGCAATTTATGAAATGAGTTCCTATATTATAAATTCAATAGACCAAATCAATTCATTCATAGATTTATTTACTCATTACTGCACTTGAACTTAATGGCCACAGAATACTAATACTTTATTAAGATACTGAAATAAACAAGTAAAATATAGCACAGATTAACAACATAGTTTATTCAATTAATATAAACATATGCATATAAAAATAAAAGAGAAAATGCAATTCTCCAAGTTGGCAGACACAAAAAGTAAGCCTTTTTATGAGCCATGTTATTATATTTGGCATTTTTAAAGAGAATCAGACACAACAAGGTTCTGGATTCTGTCCTAGTCATAGAGTTGCTTCCATAGGATCCATCCAGAAAAAATATATGGTACTGCTCCTGTTTGCTATCTCCCTCTGCATTTTTCCCTTTTAGGAACAGAGAAAGGCTTAGGTACAAAGAAACAGATAGCAATGAAGTTTATTCCTACTTGATATTATTACAGGTATTGTGTGAAACTTTCGTTCATCAAAAACTATGGTTTGATGATATCCATACTATATGAAAAATTACAGCTTGGATTGTTGAAAAAAGGAGGGTAAAGAACATAAAATGTGAAACGAAATAAATACATTAATTTCAAATACAAATATTAATGAAACCTGAAGCCTTTTTTTCTAGGTAGTATGGATAAACCAATAAAAACAGTATGGGACACTGTTTCTTAACATGGTGACCGCTGAAAGGATTGTTTATGGTAAGCATTAGAAGGAAAAGAGGACAGCGAATATTGAAGAATGGATTTTAAAATTGACAATTAGCAGAGATGGCAAAATTAACTGCTTTGATTAGAGACAATGGATTAGACAAGTTTACAAGAGGTGGAAGCCATTTGTGGACTTTCTATGTGTTAAATACATAACAGATGGTTACAGAGGGATTTGAAGATTAGTTTTACCTTTGGGATTACCTCTTGACTGTTTCTGTACACACGTACGTATGTACTTACATACATACACACACACACACAAACACACACACACATATATATACATATATATATATACACACACACATATAGACATACATATACACATACATATACGAGGTGGATTTTTTTAATGTTTAATGTTAGATATATTTGATATTTGGGGTCTTTTGTTTTGTTTTTGAACACATGGTGTTTTGCTCTTGGTGTCAGATGTTAGGTTTTTTTTTCTTTTTGTTTTGTATTTTATCTATGGAGACATTTTAAAAGAAATAAATAAATAAACAAAAATATAGATGAGTTATATATTTTGAAACTGAAAGAAAAAGCACGACAATATAACATATAAACCTAAGTGTATAATACAGTGGTGGCGAACCGGTGGCACTCAGAGCCCTCTCTCTGGGCACACGCTCCATGCCCCTGACATGGCAACCGTCCCTTTTCAACCAGCTGCCCACTAACTCGCTGAGGTCCCACATGGCCAGATGCATCCCAGCACCCATGCGCTCCATGGTCTCTGTGTGCAGTGGCCGATGGTGTCAGGCAGCAGCCACCCCGGTCTCACCTTGCCCTGGGACAATGGCACCCCTGCCCTGCCTCGCCTTACCTCACCCAGCAGGATGAGCCTCCTGCCCACCGCCCCACCTGCCAGAGACCCTCTGGATCTCCCCCAACCCTGCCTGGCTCCCACAGGCGTCCCTCCCCATGAGCAACATCGAGGTGATCACGCCCACCTTGGCTACACCCACCCAATCTGCCATGACCACCACAGCCACGCCCACCCAGTGGGCCACATCCACCTGGCACCTGGCGATAAATAAGTGGGTTTTGGGTTGCAGTTTGGGCACTTGGTCTCTAAAAGGTTCGCCATCACTGGTATAATATGTTGATTTTTATGAAAGATTGAAAATAATCACTGAAGTATATGGTGTAATGAAAAGCTTTGAATATGGGACACATCACTGTTTAGTAATAACAAAAGTGGATCATTAGGTCATTGAGACATATATAAATGAAAGTTTATTGTAATATCATTTAATTTGTCATTAAAATGACAAATTTATGACAAATGATAAAGGGATAACATTTGAATTATAGAATATTTTGTTCAAAAAGTGTTAAAAATTGATTGCCGAATATGATCAGAGCAAGCGTACAACAGTAATTATGTAAGTGTAAGAATAATTGGACTGCTTACTAAACAGTTGAACAATGATGTCCCTTAAGTGGTTTATATCTATGACTAAGTGTTTAAGGATGTCTACAATGATAGTAGGATGTGAATGTATATGTTTGTACAGATGCCTGTGCATGACTGTGAACCACAACAATTTGCAGTGAAAGTTAGCAGATTAGAACAAAATTAATGTACCAAAGAAAAAGAAAATGTTTGACAAAGAAAATGAGGTGAATAAAATAACAAGTTGCATATAATGGCACAAAATCAGATGAATTGTGTATCTTGCTAATATCTGTATACAACTAAAAGACTCCTCTCTATCTGTAACCTTTAATTAGTTGAAAATTAGGCAATAATTTTGAAGCAAGGTACTTCAAATGGTATTTAATGAACACATCCAAAATCCAGAACCCATTACTCATGTGGAACTAAAATTTTAAGGCTCTTCAGAACAATTGCATTTGCAAACTTGTGTGGGCTTTCAACATATCCTTGCAGCTTCCCACAAACAAAATCAGTGAGGAAGCCAGCAGGGAGTTAGAAGTCTCTCCCTCCAGAATGGGACAACTTGCTGCAGCCAAGTTGTCACTGTGGGACAACTTGCCGCAGGACAATTCAACAAATACAGAATTAAATAATTTCAGTGGAACCATGGCCATTAATAATAAAATAAAGTTAATCCAGAAATAGAAGAGTTATAATAATTTCAATGAAAATATGATCATCAATGATAAAAGTAACTGGTGAAATGATTGAATTATCCCGCAGCAAGTTGCCTTAGACTCTCTCGTGCGTACACTGGGTTTTTGCCTACCCATGGTCATTCTGTTTCTATTTAGGGAAGGGAAGGAAGTATCTCTGAATAGGTCATGGGTTGTCTTGTGTTTACTAAGGATAGCAAAATTAGGAAATTGTAAGACATATACATTCCAGTGGAGAAGAAAGCATCTGTTCCAAAGAATATAACAATATAAAAAGAGAATATTTGTAGTTCAGGGTTGAAATGAGAAGTCCTTGATGCTCTCTGAGTGTGGTTGTTTTCTTTCAAAGCTTACCCAAACTAGGTAACTAGACAACTGATAATGTTACCTAGTTTGGGTAATGAAACCCTTGAAGAAAACAACCAAGTTTTGAGAGCCCAAGTACCCCTCAATATAAAAAGAATTTTAAAATATCTCTGTTTAAGAATATGCTTCTGCTGATTTTATTATATGTTAGAATTGGCTATGGTAAAACAAAATGTTCAGTTGAATGAAAAGAAAATGGCATACAGTATTTGTGTGTGAAAAACAACAAATAGATGTCAAAAATCTTCTCTCAGCTTTGGTGATTAGGACAGATGCTGTGTTCCAGCCTCCTGTCCTCTGGCCCAATGTCGGGTCATCAGAGCCTCAGGGGCTATCACTTTCTGGCTGCTGTTGTTAAATGCATGGTCGGTCTACAATAAAATTCCACTCATCCACAACCTTACCATTCATGAAAGGGCATGTATCAGTGATACCTGGTTGGGCATGAAAGGGAGAATGCCCTTGTTAGAAATGAAGTAGGGGCAGTAGTATGGTAACTGTCATGTGACAGAGAGTAGTAGCATCCAGGAGCATTGCTCTCCAGTTAACTGTAAATGAAATCCTGTTTGTGAAGTTAGGCTCCAGGATCATACCAGATTCCCTCCTATATAGCAGCTCTCTACCTGAGCTGCTTGATGTAAGGCACAGGGGAATTTCAACTTGGTCCAAATTACCAAAAATCTGACTCACAGCAGGCTCACATACAAGACCTGTTTTTGTCTCAGGTTGATGGCAAACAATCTGAAAGTAGTGGATGTTACTATAAGTTTCCTATCATGGTCTGATTACTCTCTATGGATCTTGAAGTTCTCTCCAGCAGCATGCCAATACTGTGAGAAATGATCTATTCAATCAGTCTATCCCAGGTGCCTGAGGGATGTAGTTGGGTTTCAGAGGAACTTTTGGGTTGTTTCTGAGCATTCGGGTGCATGATTCACCTAAGGCCTTAGTCTTTGCCTGGAATAAGAATATGATAAAGGCCTTCAAATAGAATACATGTATAAGAGCTCTGTGTATATGTATCCTGGAGTACCTCCTAGTTTTCAGAAACATTCTGGATGACAAAGCAGCATAAGAAATCCCTAGAATGCCCCAATCAGGAAAATGAAGTGTGAACTCAACTAAACATAGTAAAAGCCTTTCTTAAGGCTGATCTTGTGGCAATAAAAGCAGCAAAACATAATTATTCGTCCATCCTCATTTCATCTGCAAAAAACCCTCTGATGGTCTTGTTTAAAATGACCTAATTCCTCCTGGCCAAAGAAAAACCAGAGAACACATAAGAGATATTGTGAGGACTATTACAGGCATCTGTTGGATAAAGTTGCTTGGATTTTCTCACACATAAAGTCCTATGGAGCTGACTGAGTCTTATTTGGTTACTGGGGACAGGTTTTGGCCTGATGAGTTTTAAGACTATGAGTTCAGCTACCTGTAGTTGAGATCCATGTCATTTCTAGTTGTGTTTTTGATAGTTTTCTTCTTTTGAGATTGGTTCCAATTGGTGTTGGTAACAATAGGGAGAGATGTAGCCATAGGTTTTTAAGAAGAGATTGGACAACCATTTGTCTGAAATGGTATAGGGTTTCCTGCTTGAGCAGGGGATTGGATTAGAAGACCTCCAAGTCCTTTCCAATGCTTTCCAATACTCTCTGCAGGTTACCATAAGGTTCAACTGTCTTGCCCTCCTTTTCAACATCCACATGAAACTTTCAGTGAAATCATCAGGTAGAACAATATTCTGATGCATTCAGTTGCATACCTCTGTTTCAGGCAAATTAAATAAACTCTGAACTTGCAGATGTTTTAGAATAGTCATTACTGTTGGCACTGATGATGATGTTAACTAGTTGGGTAATGAAATGTCAACAAGCAAATAACCAAGCTCAGAAAGCACCAAGGACTCTACAATTCAAACCTGAGCAACATACATTCTCTTCTGTTGCAACTCAGTGAAGCCACTGAGTTTATTTCCAATGTTTGGAAGTTGTGAGGGTCTGAATGAGGAGGCTGCATCTCAACCAAGGCAGGAATAAATAGCTATAGGCTTTGAGGCCTCCTGCATCCATAGAGATCCATATATCTTTTTTTTAATGGGATGGTAATATTCCCATTGACTCTCTGTGCAATTTAGGGAATCCTCTTAGATCAGTGATGGAGAACCTTTTAGAGACTGAGTGCCCAAACTGCAACCCCAAACCCACTTATGCATCGTCGAGTGCCCGGTGGGTGTGGCCCATTGGCTGGATGTGGCCTATTGGGTGGGTGTGGCTAATTGGGTGGACATGGCTAAGTGGTAACAGCAGACTGGGTAGGACTAAAAAGTTCAATCAATCAATTCCCACTTTGCAAGAACTTTTTTTTTCCCATGAGAAATTGAAATTGACTGATTGAACCTTTTTTTTTTTTGCACATGGCGGCGGAAGCCTAAAGCGAAAAGGTTTTATAAAACCCAGCTAAAGGCCTAGGACTGGGGCAACAACGTGGGTGCCCACAGAGAGGGCTCTGAGTGCCGTCTCTGGCACCCATGCCATAGGTTCGCCACCACTGTCTTAGAAGCATGGCTCCTGTGAGGAGTAGGTGGCAGCTGTGGCTAGGAAGGTCTTTGCCCAGATCAATCTTGTATGCCAGTTGTGCCCAAGTGGTCCAGAATGCAGTGGTGTGGTCAGTTTGAGATGTTCTACAGTACATTATTGTGATACCTCTGCTCTATGAGCTGTACTGGTCCCAGTTATGCTCCGGCTGCAATTCAAGAGCAGTGTGTCACCTATAAAGCCCTGGTTAGCATAGTGTTGAGTTATTTGAGGAATCCCCTGCCTCCAATTGTTTATGCTAATCCTCCCAGAACTGACAGAGTAGGCATGCTCCAAGTCCCTTGCTTAAAGCAGAGTCATCTAATGCAGGGGTTTCCAACCCCCGGGCCATGGCCCACTACCGGACTTTGAGACTTTCGAAACTGGGCTATTGAAGTGGTGGGGGATGCGCCCCCAAATGGAGCTGTGCATGTGCGTTTGCCTGTTGCTTGCATGGAACCATCCCCCCCGCCAATCCACAAAGTAAAAAAGATTGGGGATCCAGCAAATGTGCTTTATTTATTATAGTGTCTACCCTATGATATATCATTCCACTCAGAAATAATGTGGACCATTACGAAGAGTATATACATATGATTTGGTCATGTAGAAATAATGATCAAATTGCAAAAGAAATGTATGGATGGATGGAGAGGAAGAAGAAAACTAAGAAAGGTAGATTTTGATAGAAATCCTCAAAGCAATTTCAGTAAAAAGTTTGAAGAATAAAATCAGGACATGGACATAGTGAAACCAAGGGTAAGAATAGATAGATATGAAAAAAATCTATCAAAGGATGTCATTTTTAGCTAGGTTTCATTTTCTTTTTCTACATCCTGGCCTTTAATTTCTTTTATTTTCTATTTCTTCCTGTTTCTATATTTTGCTCAATGCTGTGCACTCTAAGAGGGAATAGTGACAGAAATATATGATTTATATTTGTATGTGTCTATGGGTATATATACATACATTATTTCAGCAAGTTGCCTGATCTTGATTTGATGTTTTATTTTAGTCAGAAGATTTAATTAAAACTAAAACTTTAGGTTTAGAAAAACTTTAAAAATTAAATTTTAATAAATTTTAATGAGAAGTTTGAATAATAAAAGCAGTATGGGGTCATAGTGAAAGCGAGGATAGTTTACAATGATAGATAGATATGGAAAAATCTAGTAAATAGTCTTGGTATAAGTCACTTTTAATAAGGTCTCCTTTTCTTTTTCTAAACTCTGGGTTTTAATTTCTTTACTATTTCTTCCTGTTGTTAATGCTCTGCTCAGTGCTGTATACCCCGAAAGTGAATATGACAGGAATATATGAGTGTGTAAGTTTGGATGACTATGTGTATATATGCATATGTTATTTCAGCAAGCTGCCTGTTCTTAACCTGATATTTTCTATTATTAAAAATTGTCTATTGAATGCTCTTCTTACTAATAAAATTGAATTATTTCTAGAGATGATTATTTCATGCCGTTTCAACAAAATCTGACTGTAACCTCATTTTCTTACCATTGTCTACAGAAATTCCAAGCAAACTTGATATTTTTCTCACACTGAAAACACAGAAAAAGTCACTTAATTACTGTGTGCTTCTTCACATCCAAACTAAATCATGGACTTTACATTTTCATAGTATTTTCAAACTACTGCAAAAGGTTTCTCTTGAACTTTATGTCAAAACATGGTCACGTAATCAACTAAGCACATTTCCCCATTTTAAGAGGACAAACTGTAAACTGACACAATTCCCAGCAGCATTGGACACAATAAAAAGCTTTCAAGGTGAACACCACAGAATGTAAATACATAATTTTCACATCTGTAAAGAGTATTTTCGTATGTATGTCAACCATGTTTAACATTGTGTTTGCATTTGATGTTACTGCTGTCCAGTGAGCAGATTCATGTTTTGCTTTGATCTAGAAAACTAAAGTCCATGACATGCTCTGGTGTGGGTTTTGACCTGCCCCTGGTGTTGTGGTACCAGATGAGATTTCAGCTGTTATGTCATGGAACTTACTGTGGCTAAATGAGAGAGAGTTATCCAGGCTGCTCAGCTGCTGTAATCTGGCATGCATCATCCCTGTTCTGTTACGGGAAACAGGCAATGTCTGAGATTTTCGATCATGAACTATGGGTCCCAACCCCTCCTGGTTCCTGCAAGATGAGTGAAATTGGACAGAAGCAAAAGTTAAACATGTTGCACTGCAGCATGAGAGGGAGAGAGTTAGTTAAGCAGCTCAAGCAAAAAATTCCACTAGAGAATGAAAATTCAGAGTAGCTTATTGTGTTTTGAGTTAATGTCCATGTGAACAAATCTAGCCAGCCAAAGCAATTATATATGGCCCACACTATATAGAGACTGTGGCCCATACAATTTAATTCCTAACTGGAAATGTGGGATGGTCTTTTTAAGTTTTTAAATGTTGGATGGTCTTCATATAGTCAGCCACGGTAGTCTTTAAAATCAGACTCAGTCAAAAAGGCTTAACTGTCAGTCAGCCCTGAGCTGTTTTGCACTGATTAGCACAAATAAGTATTTTGCAAGCATTGCAGGGAGTTGTTTACATGTAAAAGTTAAAATATATTGTGGGTCATACACATTTGTGAAAAGAAGTTAAAGGAAAGTCAACAGGTCTTTAATAAGCACACATGCAATTAAAGCAGAATTACGTGAAAAATGCAAACACCTATATCTTACCAGGCAGGAAGGGAGTAGAGCCATATGTTTTGTTAAACTTGCCAGCAATCAAATGAAGGAAATAAGAAAATGATTGGAGTTAGCAATCAGACTAACCTCCTAATGTGTACCACCACCAGACTGACAAGAAACGAAAACCAATACCAGAATTACACATTTCTCTGTTATTCTAACTACAGGGTGTGTAAATGTTGCATGCAATTTCTTTGCTAATACATTCCTTTGGTGCATTTCAATGTGTGTAGAGTTAATATTTATTTGTGAATTTCTTTCAACCCCACAAAAATCAGAAACATGCATGTTTTTAATTTTAATTTCAATATTATCACATGCTGTCTGGATATTTTCTGTGCAATAGCTGTGCAATTACTGTTATTAAATAAATTATTTTTTTCCTTTGTGTAATAGAAGAACAAATCAAGGGAAAGATTAGCTAGAATTCACAGAAATTATCATTATATTTTAATATACAATATGATAATGCTATAATTGCAGTGATTCGAATCCACTGTGTCCTCACCCCAAACTTTATCAGCACTAACATTTACAGACCCAGTTTTCATGATCAGGAAGTCTGAAGTCCGAATGCAAATCTGTTATCTTGAATTTACAACTTAAGATTGCAGGTGAAAGCTCTAGTGTTGGAAACCAGAAATTATTTATTTATTATTAAATTTATATGCTACCTATCTCAATATTCAAAATGGCTCACAATACTAGAGTGTAGATGATGGGTAACTTAAACATGCTGCACACATATTTCTTGGATGGTCTACACCTGCAATCTGAAGTGATACTGAGAATTTGACATTTCTGCAATTTCATAAAAACAGGCTTATGAAGCAGACAAACATAATTGAAAGGGACCCAGTATTTAGTAAACCCAGTGCCTATTTTTAAATAATAATTAACTTCAGAAAACAGTAAATTCTTGCATCTTTATTCTTCCTCACACTTGCAAGAAACTGACATTTGTGTAAAGAAAAAAAAATCAGCAAAAATTCAGATAGGATTGTTTTAAATGTATTTGAGCACAAGAAACGAAAAAAGGAAGAAAACAATGCATGTTTGTATTCAGTATATCCAAACTAAGTCCTTAGAAAATGGAGTGGGCCCTCTGCAGTGTCACTGTCAGTTCCGTCAGTTCCCAGTTGGATCACTACCAATGAGATGGTAGGAGATTGGATATGAGAGAAAATCCAGGCTCCATTGAGTAAGGAGGCATTTCCATTACTTCTGAAGAAGGCTGGTGTGCCCCCTGCTCAAGAAGCTGTTGTTCAATCCAACTGTTTTGGGCAACTTTTGATGTGTCTGCAAGTAACAGGTTCATTCCAAATTATCTGAGAAGGCTACTTTTTCAACATTAAAATGTTCTACTATTTTATTTAATTACTTAATTAAGTAAACTTAATTAAGCACAATCAGCCTTAACCGTGGTCAGGAATGGGAGACATATATGATGATTCTCTCAGACTTCCTACAGTACTAAGAAAATACATAAAGCAGAATGAACAATTCAGGTATCAAATGCTGTATTAAAATATGCTACTTTCCTTAGCCAAATATTCTGTAATCTCTACAGCTACAATAATTAACACAGAATTCTATGTCATCAAAAAATGTCAACGTGAAACAGAAATACATTCAGGAGTCACAGATAACTAAGTCTAATTACTTACCTCTTACTTGGTATGCATTTTCCCCAATGATAAATGGATGTTAGTCAATCATCAAGATTTTAAAGCATTCTGTTGCAATAAAATAACACACTTAACTTATACACATTACCTAGCAATGTATCGCTTCCCCATGTACTGAAATTGATGCAAGCATACTCTGCAAAGAAAACAGTAAGAATTATTATAGATGTTATCTTCAAATATTAAATGCTAGCCATATACTGTAATAAGAATGCTTTATTTCTGGGCTGATGGAAGAAATCAGGTTCAAAAAATGAGACAGATTTCATTTGGTCTTCATCAGAGCTTCCCTTATTATTGTTATTCTTTAGGGATGGCTGAATGGATGAAGTCACTATTTTAGATTTCTGAATTAAGATTTTTTATCTTGCAAGATTTCCTGTAGACCCTACTGGAATTATAATAAAGTCAGTGATTATTAATTGAAATATTAATATTATAAGCTGCCTTTCAATAAAATGTTCAGGATACTTTATAGCTACATAAAAGTACAATAAAAAGAGGTGTTGACCTGAATGAAGTTAATAAAAGGGGATCAGCAAAATGAATTTCATACTGAATTTCAGAAGGATATAGGCTAAAGGAGACTGATCATGGAAGCATAATGGAAAAACCAAAATGTAAGGTCAGAATGGAAATAACACCGAGTAGAGAGCAAAGAAGAAATCATCCTGATTTAGTTAATCTAGTCCTGGTTAACTATCCACAAACTGTGCTAATGTTAGAGACAAGATAAGGAATAGATGAACTTGAATTTGAGATTACCTTATCATGTAGGTACTTTTATAACTGAAATGTTTATGATACTACAACATCATATACAATATTTAGAGAGCCACTCTGGTATGGTAGTTAAGGTATCAGGCTAGAAACCAGAGACTGAGTTCTAATCCCATCTTAGGCACAAAACTATCTGGGTAACCTTGGGCCAGACACTCTCTCTCAGCCCTAGGAAGGAGGTAATGGTAAACCACTTCTGAAAAAATCTTGCCAAGAAAACTGCAGAGACTTGTCCAGGCAGTCTTCAAGAATCGGACACAAATTAACGGAAAAAAGAAATACAATATTTATCTTGAATTTTACATTTAAGATTTATATTGTGCTGCTAATAGGGTAACTATACAGTATATTTAAACTTACTCCGTAAGAGTAAAAAAATCCATAAGTTCTGATGTTGAGGCCTTGTTCCAATATGTAAACAGAGCATCTATAAAGTACAAGAAAAAAAACTGTAATTAGAGCAATTATCTTTAGATTTAAGGAACTAAAAAGAAGCTATAACTCTGCTACATAACGTGAATCCTCCTTTAAAAATACTTACTAATCAATTATGAGTATGTATGTACAATACAGATACTTTTAATAAATAGTTAAGAACCAAATTCAAACCCTTTTCCAGAAACAAATTGAGTTGCCACACTACTGAAGACAGAGCAGAATTTATTACTGATTGACCAAGATCACCCATACTCAGAAACTGATTTATTTAACTTCATATTATTGTCATCATCAAGTCTAAAGCATTTATTATTCAAAGTACTATAGAGGGGATATCCATGAATTAATGATTTTATAAGTAGTGTTGGGAACTGTATGAAACTTAGTTATAATAGTGACAGAATTGTTAATTTTGATCCTGAGAATAATTTAAATTAAATTACCCTGGGGACTATAGTCTGGATGTCCCATGGATATCCTTGAATCTGCTTACCCTCAGCAACACTGAGAACTCAAATAGAATAATGGAGAGCAAACTGATGCAAACTGCTGCTATCCTAAATGAACAGACTTGAGCCATACTTTCAGACACATAGTAGATGCTCTACTAATATTAGAATCTAGATATTCTAATATCTAGATATTTTGGTGCTGAGGAATTAAGTCACTCCAAATCTTCAAATTCTGCACTGCAATTGATCGGGAAGTAACTGGTACCAAAAATGAAGTTGAAAAAGTACCAGAGAAATAAGTATCACAGGAACACGTTTGAGTTTGTGTGTGTTGAGATGAGAAACTTAAAGCGGAGTGTATGCAGAGTTATATGGGAGGGGATCCTTTCTTGTCCCAAACAGCTAATGCACAATTATCCAGAAGGCTATTCCAAATGTACTATGAACAATATAAGTTTCCTTTACCATCTGTCATGCTTTTTAAAACATGAAGGAAGCACATCAGTAAACTCCTTATCTCAGCTTGATCAAGTTTATCACAACGAACAACTGAACTTCCTGAAATGCAAGCCTGCTGGTTCTGAAAAACAAGGCATTTAAGTATTAACATAAAAACATAAATGCAAGCATCCCAATTTCTCAAAAAGAAGACACAATTGTATTCTAACATTCATGAGAACAGTACAGATGATTACAAAATTCAGTATACCAAAAAACTGGACAAAACTGAATTTTATTTTATTAGATGTTTATGTTTTATTACATGTTTCCTACATCAAACTTCTTTAAATATGATATAAATATGTGATTTCATTTAATAATATGAGCAAGCTTTTCTGGGTCATTTTCCTATATTTGCAAGGCTGGGAACCATCCATCTATCATCCAGTCTTTGGATCTTTCATATAAAATTTCAGATTTGTAATATTACCTTTTTATTTATTTTATTAATTTGTTAAAGCAATTTTTCTTTCTCCACAATCCTGTACAGCTGAGAAACAGCCTGGCTCCTTTCCAGAAAACATTTTTAATTCCCTCTATTTCTTTTTCTCTACACCTTTGCCACACCTCTTTTTCTGTGTATCTGCTCTTGTCTTTTAGCATTTTTCTCTATCTCAAAGAATCAAGGCATGCAAGGAGGGACTGATGTATCTAAAGAGGATGAGTGCCAATTTGATCCAAAGTCTAACAATTCCCTACCCGTAATCTATAGATAGAGCTATAACTCAGTGTTTATGTAGTTCATGTGTGAGATAAACTATGATGAGCTGTTAATTTTAAATTGCATATTTCAGTTGCAAAACCAGAAGAATATACATACAAAACACCAGTCAGTGCAGGATGGAATTAGACATTATAAACAAAGCACCGCAAAACATGATGAACAGAAAGAATCCATCATCATTATTCACAAACATTGTAAGAAGTAAGATTTACTTCAGTAGGTAACTCAGAGATGTTCATAACACAGTGTAAAATCTTGCATCGTGCAAGATAAAGACAGTTTGACAAAATTCAGCTCAAGAATATATACTTTTCAATTAATATATTTAGAACAAAGTTTTTCAATCCTTCATTTGTTTTCCTTCATGAATTTGGATTTATTTGGGGATTATCTTTGTCTTTATGATTATTGTTTTTACTCTTTCATTGTTCCGATATACTTATTATTTTTGTTGATATTGTATGCTGTCCAGAATGTCCAGTGGATTGGGGAAAATTCTCATTATGTTTAAACAAATACATTATTTTTTTCTTTTTATCTCGAGGATGAAATTATGCTTCTGAGCTAACCACACAGTTTCATTCCTCTTTGCTGTGATAGCTTCCTACAATATTTGGTGCTGGAAGAAATCTCTGTCCTTTATCTTGCGCCAACTAGAGAAATTTAACTTAACAGGTAAGTAAAAAAAAACATATCAACATCAAAGAGGCTATAAGGTCAATTAGTAAAGCTAACTACCACTCTGAAAATGTACTAAGTAAAAAACATTTTAAAAATTTGAAAATCTTAATACTACAGTCAATTGTTTCACATTAGAATTCATCCATTAGCAAGAAGGGAATAGTTTTAATGACAATTTTACCATTTCCTAGAAGCAGTCTTAAAAAGATATTTTAAAAATATGATTTTGTTTAATTTCCATTTCCCTATATTATTTTGTTTTATTTCCATTTCCATATACATATGGTGTTGTCTAATGATTATTTGAGCTATTTTCTCCTTTAAAAATCTGCTTCAGCGGTTTAGCAAAATTGTCAGAACTCACTGCACTCTTAACAGTCAAACAACCAACCATCCAAACAGGCACAAAAAAATAAATTCTACTTGTAATGGAAGAGTTGCATGACAATTTCTCTCTGGTAAGGGCAGAGTTGTCAGCACTGAAAAATCCACTGTGACCCGTTTTTTCTTGGATGATAAATTGCGCTCTTCTATTCCACTTTTATACACTGCAGATGAAGAATGCCTCCTGAGCAGTTTTTCCCTCTGCCACAAGGCAGGTCAAGGAGAAAATTGATTAAACCATTGTTTTCTTAGCGTACAAGAATTAAGTCCTAATGCTAAAAGTAAAATGCCAATTAAAGGATAAATGTATATTGTATTATATCAACCAAATTATTCTTAGGCAATCAATCTGTAATATTTAATTACTGGATTTGTGCCACTGAAGACTTAATAAATGTTTTATTTAAAAGGTAAAATACTATGCTGACACTTTTTAAACATATTGTTCCTCTTGCAAGGTTTTTAGAATTAAGACATAAATATCCCACACGCACAAACTAAAGAGATTGGCTGCAATATATTGTAAATGTGATATTTTTCCCATTGAAAAATTACTTAAATTTGTGTAAGACTGTGTAACTGTAGCATACACAGCATCTTATTTATGACAGAAATGAAACAGCCTATCTCTTTGATAGAAACAATTTATTTATTTAATTATTTCAATCTAAATGGCCACCCCAGCTCAACGATGACTTTATTTATTAAATTTAGATTCTGCCCATCTCACTCACAGAGTGACTTTGGACATCTAACAAGGTTAAAAGAAAATGTAAAAAACAGGGGAAAACCCAACACACATAGAAACAGCAGCTGAGTTAACAACAGACCTATCAGTCAGAATTCATCATAACCAATGTACAGGGCAGCTCAGCCATCCCACCTGGCTCCCTAATTCAGTGACAAATCCTTGTCTGTATGAAAGGCTGACTGTCCTGACATTTGTAATAGAATAAGAAGATGCTGTATATTTTATTAATACATACAAATACATTAAAAGTTCATACCTTGTCTAGTGAATTGTTCTTTTCACCATGTTTTTCTGGGAGACTATTTCCAGAATCTGTACTTATAAGAGAGCCTCTAGAATCTGCATTCCTCACATAATTAACATTAGGAGTGGAACAAGTATATGGGGATGCTGAATAATGAAATATACACAAAAGGGATGTGTTATAGTCTCAACTGATAAAGAAAAATATTCTAGACAAACAGAAAGCCCAAAAACAAATTTTATCCCTCTGATGTATTTTCTACCATCTCCTGTATCCAGTCTGGCAATACCCACTTTTATTGGAAGGCTTAATTTACTTTTACCTCATCTCACAAGATTTACTTGACTTAACATTTCCCTCAATCATGCACCAACTCAGGGATAAAAGGTTGCCCTATGCCTATGTTTATGTATGTTGAAATGGAGATGAGGTGAGTATCAGGGTTGTATTTAATACTAAGGATAAAAATGAATAACACTGGGATTATCAATGGGAGAAATAGAACCTCATAATGACATGGCTCCATTTTCAGTAACGGAAATTATTACTTCATATTTATTTTAGGACTTGAAATGAAATAGTTGTATGTCCCATTTTAGTCCTGTAAAGAGCCAAATGTGGCCCTAGTCAAAAGCTTTACAGCAATATGAGAACTTAAGATGTCACATCCCAACTTCATTCATTATAAATATTGATTTTATTTCTCATAAGCATGTATGTTGCAAATCACTAAATTCTGTATATGGTTACCAATGCCTGATATAGCACCAAACAAATCTTTCTGGAGGCTGCTGTCAAGAGCATTCACAGATTTTTGTGGAGTCATCAATGGATTTGCAGTTGGTAAATTAAGTGATTCATCCTTTGCATTCTGTTAAAAAGATGCAAAATATTTTTTCATCCTTTGATATGTATAATTTTTATATTAAAGAGATATTTATACACTGAGATTTATGACACTTTTATAAAAAAATATGCTTACACTGCTAGGAGCATTGACAGGGAAGGGTGAAATATCCTTGACATCAATTCGATGAACGTTTTCTATCAGTAGACCAAATATTGGCAGATACAAGGTCGCTATCCTTGCTTGATGACTCTGTAAAAGAATATTTAAGTTCATTATTAAACCAAAATAAAAATACATTACGTAAATGTCCACAAATTTAATCAGATGTCTTCTAGTTTTAAGTTGTTCATTTAGTTATAACCATCAGGGGTTTGACATTTAACATTGAAAGTCTACATTACTGCACAATTACCAGAGAAGGATTTTAAATTAGATTCATGGATGTTTTATCTCTCTATATATTCCTTGATACCAGTAGCCAATCTGATTAAATGTTTTAAGAGGTCAACATATTTCCAATTCCTAACATCTGTGAAGTTCAAGTAACTTGGAGTGCTGATTGATAGCATTTTCCAGATGTGGGAAAAAGAGTTGCTAATTATTCACTGGCTTGAGGAAAAGCAGTAGAATAATCCTATCCAAATTTAAGTTTAAAGAATATAGATAAAATTGTTTTTAGTATTTTTCTAGAGCAGCGGTTCTCAGCCTATGGGTCGTGACCCCATTTGGGGTCGATCGACCATTTTTCGGGGGTCGCCAAAGAAGGCGATCCGCCATTTTCTCCCCCCAGGGGGCAGGGCCGCGCATGCGCGCCGCACATGGGGGTGCGTGCACGCGCGCTGCGCATGGGGGCGGGCCGCGCATGCGCAGAACATTTGTGTGACAGGGGTCGCCATCACAGAAACGTTGAGAACCACTGTTCTAGAGCAATTCACAAATTAAAATTTACTCAATTATTGGGTTACTCTGTAAATAAATATTATATTGTCTGTTCATAATAAATTCTTCTATAATATGAGAATCCATAAAAGCTGAAATTTCATGAATAATGTCATTTTATTATTTACTTACTTATTAAATTTATTTGTTGCCTATCTCACTGTTTGGGACTACTCTAGGAAGCTTACTTAATAAAAGTAACAAAAAGGAAGAAAAGGAAAGGAGTGCAAACAGAACAAAAGTATAAAAAAGCCCAACAAAATAAACAATGACAGAGGAAAACAATAATATATCAATATTATATTATTCCCTCTTTCCAAATTTCTACTGTCAAATAAAAATCATAAATATATGTATGCATATTAAAGAAAACAAATCAACAAATTATAAATGAACTGAATAATTTTCACCAATGTTCTATAGAATAAATCAGTATTCTCTAAATCCTGAAATATTAGGGCCAATTTGCTAGTTTTGTAAATGTGGTCTGATAATCTACTATCTAAAATAAATGATTCAGTTTTAAATGAAAATTCCAGAAATGTATGATGCTTTGATTACTTTTCAGATATTTATATACCTCTGTACAATGCTTTTTTTGTAAAAAAAAAAAAAAAAAAAGGTGCCGGAACTCACACACGTTATACAACCCGCCTTGCCTACCCTACAAGGTTCCATCCAAAAAAGGTGCCGGAACTCTGTTCTGGGTGTTCTATGACCAAAAAAAGCCCTGCCTCTGTAAATGTATAGGGCTACTCTTTTATTGTTGTGTCTTGCCCTTCAGATGGCAATACAGTAGAATGTTAAAACCAATCAGTTTTTTCCCCTTCACAGTATGGTATCAGTTTATCAATACTGGAAATAAATGAAGATGTTACAGGTTTAGAAAGATCTCCACAAGAAGACTGAAAATATTTCAAGGTTTTGAATAGCATAACATTTATTAGTTTGGAAAATTAATTTTTAAGAGCTGGGATTCTATTTCAAATGGAAAACACAGCAAATTTAGTCCTGCAAGAACTGATATCAGGCAAAAGATATTTTTTAATAGTCATTTCCAGAGGGAAAATTAAATAAGGGCACAAGAAGGGGTTTGGACACGGTGTAAGCCTCCTACTAAATACAATGTTTAAATCACAGCAGTGCAGATCTACTTCTGTTTATGCAGTGAGCGGAGAAGCCAACAGTGCCTAGAACATCTTTACCATTAGAGCACAACAGTATGTGAAGCCCTGGAATTTCTCTGAATTCTCAGTGTAATTAGAATATTCTGTACATAACTATATTAATAATTAACTTTACATAGTAAGCATTCTGGCAATCTGCTTACCTTTAAAGCGTATCTGTCATCAAAAGAATGTTTTATCATTAGATTCTTCAAAACTCCAATTGCAATTTGTCGTATCTCTCTGAATTCCTGCAGTGCATTTCCCACCTCTCTTAGAAGCAGTCCCACCAAAAAGTGATGCTTGCAGAAGTCATCCGATAAGGAGTAGTCTAGCTGAAGATCTGAAATCAAGCATCACACAGTTTTATTTTATTTCTATGCTGGTCTTCCTCTTAGATGAATCCAGAAAGGCTGAATGGGTATAAAAGAAGACTGAAAAATCATCATAATAAATTCATCAATGCATACAAACACAGACACTTAGACACATATGCACACAACCCATTTAAAAAATGACATAATTTTAGAAAAACAGAAAGCTGGATAAATAACAAGCTTCATATGAACCCTGGTAAGATTAAATGTCTGTAAGTGAATCTTCGTAAGAAGGATTGTCTGTGGATGGGTAGGGGAGCCACTGCATCTGGGAGTTTATCATTTTTGGTCCTGAATGGGGTTGCACTACACTAGACAGACCCAGAGATTAATCTGGAGATGTTCTCCTGAACATGGGGCTCCTGCTCAAACAGCAGGTGATAGTTGTGGCTCGGAGGCCCTTTCCTCAACTTGGCATTGTGTGCCATTTGCATATATTATAAACCAGGAATATAAGAATACCCAAAAGCTAGGTGTCCAAAGATATATTTTCTTACAAATAGCTGAAGTTTGAATGTCTCTTCAGAACTGGTCTGGAATCAGGTGGTGCCAAAGTGGAAATAAATAAGCAAATAATTTAAGGCTATTTCCCAATGCAGCACAAGAAACTGTTAAGATACACAGGCTTGAAGCACATTGGATCAGAAAGAATTATTTGTGCACTTCTCCATAACCAGCTCTATCAGAACCAGATGAAATAAAAAAAGTACAACTACTGTACTACTAACTGTGGAGTCCACGGGATATGAGTGCATGTGTGAAACCTGTAAAAAATGAGTGTAACTTCAATTACACCATTGTGGCTGTCGTGTTGACTTTTTTGAGCACACCCTGTGTTATCCCTGATTTCCAGGTTCTCTAGCAAATGCTACAGTAAAGAACATCCTGCATTTTATTTTTTTCAGTTTATTGTGATATATTTATGCATTTTCATTTTGTTTCCAGTGAAGGCTGATACGTCATGTTTTAAATGTTTCTTTTTATAAACTCTAGCATCATTCAAACACGAAATTCCTGCATTTGCCTTTCTGTACACATTACTATCATTTCTAAAATTAAAGTTTATGATTGGGAAACACACTTCACACCTACCTCCAGGAATATCGTTTGACTCCACTATAAAGAAAGCTAATTCAAAGAAAAAGAGAAGCAAAAATAGACAAAAACTAGCATGTTGTTCACTCCCCTCATGTCTAACAAAGAAACTGAATTACATATTAAATTACCTATGAATTTTTACTTTACCATTTATTATATACAGAACTGAAGCAGGAAGAATTTATTATTTAAATTAGAGTACAAAATTCCAATATATATTTCTTAAAATATGAAGATTTTTTTAAAGGTAAGTTTATTGTTCTAGGAATATCAATTTAACTGTATCAAATATAAATTTACCTCTATATCTCTGAATCCTTCCTGTTCCAAATGGCATAGGAAGATTTAAAGGAATGTAATGTTCGTGATTACATACTGCTCGGAGAAATTCAAATTTGAATTCAAAAAGAGCCTAAAAAATATGTTGAAGTTATAAGTTATGATCTATTAGAATTAACATGTTAATCAAAAAAGGCAAGGAAATTAATCTTCAGATCATTGGGTCAATATCCTAAATATTAGCAAAGCAATGGTTATATGTATATAATAATCTTAAAGAATTTTATGGATGTAGACACTTGCATATAAACACAATAATTATGGATTATTTGCCCATTCTTGATTCATTTTCTATTTCTGCTGCAATTACATAGATTGTGTACCAGTTATATTATCAGCAGCTTCTAATAATTTCTGAATCTAGTTCAAATCAAGTTATGAATACATTTTGCCATTTTATATATTGCCAGTGGATGGCAATATACAACAATATTTATCTTCTAACATAAAAAAACGAAAAAACGCCTCATCAGCTTAGCATTAGAAAAAGGATCAAGGCAATTTTGCAGAACTAGCATGCCACAATTTAGTCTCATTTATTACATTTTAACCCCTAACAGTCCAATTAACTAAATCTGATATAGATATGAATATGCCAAAAATACTCCCTAAACCAGGGGTCCTCAACCCCAAGGACTATGGCCTGAATAGAAACTGGGTCGTGCAAGTGTGCAAAACCATCCCCTCTCCCCCTCCTGCTGCCACTATTGCTGCCGGTCTGCAGACCCAGAAAGGTTGGGGACTGCTGCCCGAAAGGAACTCCTAGATTGGGATGGTTGAGTTGTCTCCCTCTTCCTGATTAGTTTTTCCTTACATAAACTGAAATCCTGCACTCTGGGCGACTTCTCATGAATCTGGTAAAGTAAGGTGACTTGTAATAATCTCACTGCAGCTAATCATTTTGATCTATATATGTCATCTAAATCAGGATTCCCCCAATCTCTGAAGACCTGGCTCCACCATTTCGCTTCGGGCTCATAGAAGAGCACAAAGCCATGAGGCTGGTTAGCACCCCGAAGTCCTACTCCACTTTTTAATTAATTTTTAATGTTGAAATTAACTATCCTTGCCTCTAATTTAAATTTTTATATTCAGTTTTTATGTTTTTAACATTTTATTTGTACACCACCCACTGTCCTCCTGTGAGGGAGAAGGACGGTTTCTAAATTTGATAAAAAATAGTTTTCTGGATCTACATTACATAGGAAAAATTTGCATATGACTGTATTGATGATATTCCTATCCAAGCTCATTTGTTAAAGTTTATTGAAAAGTTCTTAGATATCTAATTACATTCTCTTGAACTAAGTGAACTCAGCATGTTAATATAACCCCCCTATATGGAAGATAAGAGGCTCAATTCAATTACTGTTCAGTTACTGCATGCTGCAATAACTAAGAAGATTTGGGGTAGATTACATGTAGTTCTCAAGTTATGACAGTTGGCTCCAAAATTTCTGTTGCTAAGTGAGACATTTGTTAAGTGAGTTTTGCCCCATTTTACAACCTTTCTTGCCACAATTATTAAGTGAATCACTGCAGTTGTTAAGTTAGTAACACTAACTTGTTAATTGAATCTGGCTTCCTCATTGTTATAGGTCTGAAAAAGTGATTGCATGACCCTGGGACACTGCAACCGTCATAAATATGAATCAGTTGCCAAGAATCTGAATTTTGATCATGTGACCATGGAGATGCTGCAATGGTCATAAGTGTGAAAAATGGTCATAAGTCACTTTTTTCAGTGCTGTTGTAACTTCAAATGGTTATTAAATGAACTGTTGTTAAGTCGAGGACTAACTGTACACCAGAATCACTGCAATCTCTTTAGCATGGGCTTCTTAGAAGAACAAAACAACAGTCTTTGAATTTACACTGAAAGTTCATATATCTAAATTTTCCTAAACATAATAGGAAAATACTACCATTATTTCCCAATTCAAGAATTGTTTTTGTTGTATAGTACCTTTGGATCTCCTGGAGCAAAGAAGCTAATATAGTTGTTAATTTGCTTGAATATAAATCCTCTGTCCATAAAGGTGAAACATCGCTACAAAGCAAAGCAAAACAAAACAGTCACTGGTAGTTACATTTCTTTATATTTTTTTGGTATTTGGAAAAGACATGTTATGTGTTAAATTAGTCTAAAGCAGGAGTTCTCAACCCCGGGGCTGCGGCCCACTATCAGGCAATGACCTATTCAGAACTAGGATGTGGAAGCAGTGGGCTGGCGCACTCATGTGTGTGCAGCTCAACCTGCCCAAGTGGCAAGCTGGCATGAACTCACAAGCACAAACATGCACAGCTCAACTTGCACAAGTCGAGCTGTGCGCACTTGCACACTGGTCCACCGCTCATGTAACTTGAGCTGCGTGCCAGCCTGCCACTCTTGCAACCCAGTTCTCCTCTCCCTTGCCCAGCCAGGCTGCCAAGCTGCAAAGGTTGGGGAATGCTGGTCTAAAGGGCAAACAATAGCTAAATATTAGACCTTTTCATAATACATACATTTTAGATTTTAAATCAAAATATTCTCTGAATAATTCTATCAAATGACTTCAGTTTATCACCAGTACAAGGCCACTCAGTGATAACTAATATTATTAAAAATAGAATGTATACATTCATGCAAAATGTTTCGCTGATTATAGAAAAGCCTTCATTGGTATTGATCACATCAAGTTGTGGAAAGTGCTCAGAAAAACAAAACCCCAGAACATCAGGAGAAACTTATAAACAGGTCAGGAACCCACAGTACTTATAGAACATAGCAAAACAGACAGGCTCTGGGCTGGCAAAAAAATTCAATAAGTGAAACAGACTCTCCTCTTATTTATTCAATCTATATGCAATATAGATTAAGGGAAGCTGGATTGGAAAAATATGAACATAATTTTAATATTGGACAAAGAAACATCAATAACCTGCACTATGCTGATGACACTTTCTAATAGTCAAAACTGCAAAGTATCTGCAAATTCTAGAACTAAAATTCAAAGACATGTTTGGGGGGGGGGGGAAATGGGACTAAATATAAATTAGACCAAAAGTAATGACAAGAAGTAGAACAATCAACCTTAGAACTGACAATGAAGATATTGAAGAAATGAATCACTTTTGCCTTTTAGGATGAGCCTTCAACAGTAAAGGAACAAGAAGTCAAGAAATATGCTGCAGACTAGCACTTGGTAGAGCAGCCATGAAAGCCCTGGAAAATATATTCAAACACCATGAAATAGGGGAGTATTGATGCCTTTGAACTTTGGTGTTGGAGAAGAACTCTCTGAGGATACCACAGATAGCCAAGAAAACAAACAGATACATCATTGAACAAATCAACCCAGAGTTCTCACTCAGGGCACAAATGTCCAGTTCTCCCTTGAAATATAAATTGACCAGTTTCACTCGAGGCATAAAAGATTAAACGGGCTACTTTGGAAACATTATGTGAAGACTTAGCTCTCTAAAGGAGGCTGTTACTGCAAAAATCAGCAGTAAGAGGGATGGACCCATTTACAGTGGTAGCATTGTAAAACCAGATTAGAACAGATCATTCTGCAGAAAATATATATGTGTAATCACTAAGAGTCAATACTGGCTTGATGGCATATAATCAATCAATTAATTATACTTCGAAGGCTTAGCAGGGAAGCATTTTGATCATTTTTACTATGTATTATTTATATTTTAAAATGGCATTGTGAGATTCTTGTAAGCTGTCTAATGTTGCAACACTGAGGCAGTATAGAAATTATTTCAATAAATAAATGCCCTCAATATATCTGAACAATTCACAGCCATTTGGAAGAACTAATGAGGACATACATACATACAATATACTTACTTTTATGAAGACAGCAAGACTATAGTTTGCATTCTTTGATGCTTCTGGGTTATCCTTATATTTTTGAGTAATGTGGGGCATCAGCATATTGACAACAGTTTCCACAGCATGATGAAATGATGCTGAAAATCGCTGATTTCTTAGCAACTAGAAACAGACAAATTAGAATTTACAAATGGGAACACTGCAAAATTATCCTGTTTATCCATAACATTATGTATAAAGTTTTCAATTCTGAAACTTCAGCTACAAGAATTCCATGCTGTTGAAAAATACTGAAACACCTTTATCTACATATCTATGAAGTTATAAGAAATATTGCTCAAAAATATTTATTCAACTAGTTTAGTGAGAGTAGTAGTACTCATCACTTCTTGTAATGAAAAATTATAGAAAATAAATACACTGTCAAGAGAGTATTTGCAATTATAAACCAAAATCAATTTATAGATTACACTTCAATAAAAAAATAGATATATAGATATGATTGTAATTAAACAGCTTTCCATTTGCAGCAGTTTTCTGCAACTTGCTATCTGTAGAATATAATTCCCACTGTCCTAGACAGCACTACCACTATTTTGTAGCCAGTAAATGGCAGCAGGGATTAGAGATAGAGACAGACAGATCCATTTTTAAAGGTCAAAAATGAGTATCATAACCTCTTGAAATAGCAGATCATTTACCTTTACTTTAGCATTTTCCAGGAGGTGCTGGGCCATTGATTTGATCAAAATTTCAAAGAAAAACCAGGAATACTATTGAAGAAACAAAACAGTAAGTAAATTACCTTCTTTTTTAATAAATAACTCAAGGCAGAGAACATATATGTAATACTCCTTCATCCTCAATTTTTCCCACAACAACAACAACCCTGTGAGATGAGTTGGGTAGAGAAAAATGTCTGGCCCAAATTCATCAAGATGGCTTTAATGCCTAAGGTGGGACTACAACGCATGTATTCTACTGTATATAAGCAATACAAGTATATTTATAGGTAATATATTGTTTAGTATGTAAGAACAATATAAGTATTCATTTATATCTATAAGTTATACAACTGTTATTGTCAATTATTACAATTATGAAGTGCTAAAATTCTTTTCAGATCTGAGAAACTCTTCAATTGATGATATAGACAAAATATCATTTCTCCTTATGTACCTTAAGCAGCTTGTTGCTTGTGAGGAAGTCAGTACATGGCTTCAAGATTGTTGTCATGGTTTTGGCAAGTTCTTCATGTACAGTTTTATATTCTGAAGCAATATAAGTTTCTCCTTTAAAAACGTACTTGGGATAAGGAAAATAAAAGAGCTTACATTATGCAAAAAATATTCAGAATTATATTTATCAGGCAACTTTTAAACAAAGCACATTTATATATTTGATACCTTGACATAGGATCTCAAATAGCTATCCAATCCTTCTTCATGACAATGGGCAACCACATGGATAATAACCCTAAGTAAAATAAAGTTTACAGTAAGATATCCTCACACTTTAAATATTTTTAAAGTCAACAATTGGCACATTATAGGCAGTCCTCAGCTTACAAGCCGTAGTGGCACAGTGGTTAGAAGGCAGTGTTGGAAGCTAATTCTGCTGACTGCCAGGGGTTCGCCAGCTCAAAATTGACTCAGCCTTCCATCCTTCCGAGGTCAGTAAAATGAGGACCCAGATTGTTGGGGGCAATATGCTGACTTTGTAAACCGCTTAGAGAGGACTAGAAACCACTGTGAAGAGGTATATATGTCTAAATGCTATTTTTATTGCTACAATCACAATTGGGACAGGACTTTCCATTGAAAGTCATTGAGGTTATTGAGTTGGACCTAATTTTACAACAATTTTTACAGTGGTTGTTAAATGAGTCCAGCTTCCCCAGAGCTTCCTGGAGGCAAATTCCCAGTATATGGGTGGTGATGGTTGCTGTGTGATGAAAGAAAAGTTTCCTTATGAATAAGCCATAGAAGCAGAGTATGAGTGTCTACAAAGTCTGTGCTTGCTGAGCATAAAGGCTGCTCCGAAGAAGAGTCAGGTATGAGAGGTTGGAGAAGTTTAAGGGAAGTGTGCTTTGCCCAACTCCAGTTGGTAGGCCAGCTGTAGATCTACCAGAAGCAAGAGGATCTCACCACAGAAACTCAAACCCTTATCATTATGTGTTTTGATCATTGCCAATGTAAGCTGCTCAAAAAATGATGAATAGCTGTGTGTAGTTGAGTTTGTCTTCTCCTTCCCTCACGAGCCTTATTAAGGTGCTGGTTGGTATAGGTTGTAATTTACTGTAACTTGCTAACAATATGTAGTACATAATAATAGCTGTAGAACCCTGCAAATGTCCCATTTCATTATCTGTATTACCTATTTCTATTAACTTTGGGTGTAATTTAAAGTACTGATCATTTCCTATAAAATCCTATGTGGCTTGGTACCAAGTTATTTCTGGAGCCACTTCCTCCAACCCATATTGATTCACTTGAGCTATGTGTACTGGAAGAAATTTTGAGTAACTCCCATTTCCATGCAGTAGGGAGGGCAGAGGCTTGGAGGCATTGGTTTTCAGGGAAAGGGTATGTACTATAAAGTAGCTTCCCTTTAGATATTAGATTGATTTTAACAGTATTAGTCTTCTGTACTCTAAAACAAGGTGAAGTATATTACTCCAAAGAGTTTACATGAAGAGATAGAATGTCCATAACTGTTGCTTTTATCCCACATTAATAGTTTCATGGTTCTCTATGTGTCTGTTTTAGTCTTACCATTAATGTTTCCTTTTTTATTTTGTTATTGATACTTTTAATTATATTAAACCGCCAAGAATCTGGTCAACTATGTTGCATAAAATCTGGTAAAAAATATGTTAAAACCTTTTTACCTTGTCACATTCACTGCAACATCTTCCTGAGTTGCTCTTGTAAGAACTCTAAATAATTGGTTTAAAATAGTAGGCAGAAATGCTATCATGACATGTCCCTCCATAGCGTGAAGGCTCTAGAATAAAAACAGTGACACAAATGGATTTTGTTTCTAACATATTTATTGTCAAAACAAAGGGTCTATGGTTATAATTCCATTAAAACTTCACTTGAAGAAAATGAAGTTCTAACAAGACTGACAGATTCACACCAAACTGAGAATGTTTTAAAAACAGAATACAAATTCGGTAAGATAAGCAAGCCAATTTCTACGTTATTTCATAGCTTGCCCAAAGAATCAAGACAGATAAGAACAGATAAGATGAGAAAATACTATTTTACAGACATACTTTTATTCAAGTGATAAAACCAGAAGAAAAGCACCATGCTGCTGTTCTATTCTAATATAAGCCGAAAGGCTGCTGAACATGTCACATTAAAATTATTGTTGGGATATTTTAAATTAATCTTTTAAACAAGGTTAATATGTCAGACATCTAATATACCCGCTCCTTATTTAACAACAACCTAGGTTAGCGACCATTTCCAAATACAATGGTAGTCATAAATTTATTTTCTAACCAATGAGCATTTATGATCCAATTCTGTGTGCCTCACAACAATGCACGCTGTAGTGAGAGTAAAGCTAACATACCTGTACAACAGAACCTTATCTGAATGAGAGAGCAGCAAATAGTGATCTTTGCAGCATCTCTGTCTCTGTCTTTCTATCTCAAAGCTCCCCAACCTTTCTGGTTAGCAGCCTGGAAGGAAAGGGAGGAGCTGGGAAATGTGGTCAATTTTAGTCATCTCATAACAGTTTCATACCTTAAGATACTTCACAAGGTCAGCTCCTAAAGCTTGAGCACCAGACATAGTTTTTTGACAGTAATGGAAGAAATTGTTTAAATGCTGGTCCTAGTAAAAGAAGAGTAAACTATTAATATGATATCACTACTTCCATTTAAAAAGATCAATATACATATGGGGAAAAATGTTTTGACTTTCAAGAACTCAACAAAATTGAAAAGCTAAAGGAACACGTCCTTCCCTGTTGAGTTCTCATACATCATGAACAATATAACTTTATTAATTTCAATTAGGTATCACTTATTGCTCCTGAGCCTTTATTATTCTGGTACAAAGTGTTTGGAAGTTTTCATTTTTCTAATATTTCAAACACCAAAAATGTTAAAATATGCATGCAAAGACCAATTCCTCATTTTGGATTTTCAATAACTATTTCATAACTACAAATGGGGCCTCTGAGATGTACAAAATCTAATAAGATTTTGAACATTTTTATGCCTGTAATTCATTATTTTATTTAAAAAAGGCTGTGTCTAATTATGATTTAGTACTAATAAAAAGCATCCTCTTGCATATAACCTGCAATGAGTTCTTCCCTTCAACATACCAAATTGATACTTGCTTGAAAATCTCGTTTTCGGGGAAGTAGGGTGCAAGAAAAAACAGTGAAGCCTAGAGCAAAACATGCTCTCTTGCTCCTCCCTTTGTATTTTCTTACTCACACAAGGTCCCATTACATAAAACTCATAATTTTAATTTTGAAATGTGTTGGACAGATGTGACAGATTTGTTTATCCCATGACTTTTTCCCCAGAAAGTCAGAGTATTGTCCTCATCTTGTGCTAATCTAAAACCCAACACAAAGACAGGAAAATCTGCTATATATTCTTTCCAACTCTGCACTTGCAGAACTGATGCTTTTATCCTAGTTGGAATCCTGTCATGTACAGAGGAGAGGCTATGTGAGTTTACCTCCTTTTACTTCCCTTTCCTACACTTAGGTATAGATTCATAAACTTCCTTTCTGCCTTTTGTTCTCTGGGTTGATTGCTATAGTAAGATGGCAAGAAAGATAATCAAACTCTGATTGTGTCATATTTTTCATGTTATAATTACAGAATTATAAAATATAAGTTATTTGCAGATGAAATAAAATCAACACCTTTGGTCAAAAGTTACAGTGTAGTTAATACCAACCTGTGTATATACAGTGGAAACTAGGTGAGTTGAAATTGTCAGCAGTGGTTTGCCTCCATCTACCCATTTAATTTCAGGGCCAGAATGCTGATGTAAAAAGAAAAGTTGGTTATTTAATATGTTAAATACAAACCAACTTTATCTAAAAGCAAAAAAAAGGCAGGTATTATCTTGGAGTTTTTACTTTGCTCATGCCTGTCTCTTGACTGTTAAGATATCCACTTGGAAGATAAGCAGCTACTGGTATATGTTGTTCACTTGTCACCACTCTGCCATCTTTTAATAACTGAAGCCAAGAATATCCAACTAGAAGGAATGTAAAGAGAAATTATATCTTTGCTGTATTCTCTAATAAGTGTACAAACATATATTTCAGTAATCAATTCTATCGATTATTTGCAAGTTCTATAAGATAATTATTACTTAAGAAATTATCTACTTTAACATAAAATTATTTTAATGTGTAATCTGAAGTTCTAATTGAAAAGAGCAAGAATAATACATTAGTTTGCAATACTATTGAAGTGAAGGTATTTAGCAGTATATCACTTTTATATCAACCAGTATTGTTAAAAATACTCTAACATAAAGTAAATGGAAAGAACATATAGTGAATGTTATGATTAAATGTTTAATTTTAGCTAAATATATCACCTATAAAAAAACAACTCAATCAAACCTTGTGTTTCAATTATGTCCTTCTTCTTTGTGGTGCCTTTACTTGAACTGTCACAACTAACATGATAGAAGGTAAACAATAAATGGTGTTTTTCATGCAGCTGTGTGGGCAATTCTATTTTTACCTAAGAAGAAATAAAATAAAAGTTTTGGTTTGGAAAGTGTCTTCTAGTAGTAGTGATTATACAAGTTTTACACCTAAGCATATATACATTTACTACTGGACCAGATTGAAGAGATTTGGTATTAACCTATAAGACTTTAAACAATGAGGGACCAGTATACTGTCATACAGGCCTAGCTCCTATTGTAAGCAATTCGAGACCATCTGATTGTACCACATATTATCAGTTCTTATTTGGGGTGAAGAAGGAAGAGGACCTTTTCTGTCATGGCATTTTAAAATGATAACATAATAATCACCTAGAGTTAAAACTAACACAATCTTATTTCAATTTATGTTCTTGTTCAAAATATTTTTAATAATATTGACACATGATTTTTCATCATCGTACTACTATACTACTTGTGATTGCTGCTCTTTCCTGTTTGTGAATTCTATTGGCTAGAGACCAAACTTCAAATAACAAGTCTTCCTACTAGAATCAGAGTGCTGCTAAGATGAAAATTAGATCAAGTGAACTGAAATACTGATGAGTTTACAAAAATGGATAAAATATACATTTTAACATTTTAAAATATAGGATAGTATACAATTACATGCATTTTCTCCATTAATTATCATCTCATATGTTGCTACTCTTTGTATTTTTTTTTTGTATATGTTCCCTATTTTCTGTTTTTTTTAAAAGAAAAAATAGTTTTCTTGCATAACATTTTCCTTAAAGAATAATTGCAAAAAGATCTGGCATATTTATCACAAATAGTCTTACAGTGTTGGAAAATTAGCTGATATCACTGTGTCATTTTATGGGTAGAAAAAGTAGACAGACATATCTGCCTACCTCTGAATAAAAATGCTTGACGTGTTGCAAAGCAACTTCTTCCCTGTTATCCCACTGTGTTTCTGGAAAACAATTAAAATGGGCAAGGATTTTTGGAGAAAGGAAAGAAGACAAAGTTACCTCATCATAAAATTCTGGGTTTTGATGATGATGCAGAACTGCAGCAAAGGCTTGTCTTGTAAATATTGGACTCCCTGGTCTGCCATAGATGCACTAGGAATGAAAGAGAAGATTTATACTGATTTATACTGATCCAATTTTTTTAGATACAATTTCTGAAATATTTCATGTGAGATTTTTTTAATGTTTCCCTTTTTTAACTCTTCTACAAGATAAGCTAAGTTAGCAAGGCTTCTTTTTTAATTATGCCTCAATGGATGAAAAAATGCTCAGAAAATATTCTGCCAACCGTTGCTATATTTAACAATACTTAACAGTATGGTCGTGGGCACTTTGGTAGGGGTATGTGAGCCTAAGTGTGCTCTGAAGCATTTTTCAGCTTTCAGTCTAAAGTGCTTCACATTCCTACTGTACAACTTCTGGCATGTAATAACAAATACTCTGTGGTATATAGAATATATGATAAAAGGATTATTATTTCTTTAGAGATTGATTCTGTGTGTGGCGTGACTATGCCATTGTTCACTCCCTAGAGACTAAAATGGACGATCTGAAACTTCAGCTGGCCACAAACAAGGAGTGTATATCGGAGGTGGTAACCCTTTGAGAGCTGTATGCAACAAAATTTCATTTTGATATATGTTCATTGGTATATATTCAAAGTGACAATAAAGTTGTTGTTGTTATATAATGATGATGATGATGATGATGATGTGAAGGAAGAGGAGATGGCTATTGTATTAACAGAGCAGAGTTCAAACTCTGCTACAATTGCTTTCTTCAAGGGGGAATTCCTGGTTTTTACTGATGTTATTTTGTTATTCCTATGATGGATTTACAACTTGTACTTTCCTTGAACCTGATAATTCGTAACACAATGGAAAGCAACATAGAGATGAGAAATATATTGTAAACCTAAAAAACAAGGCAGGGTAATGCAGTGAGATAAACTGAGACTTGCTAAATTGCTTTTAACCCTTATTTAGTGTTTCTATATCTCTTAAAATAAAGGGGTTTTTTAAACCATGGTATTTCTTACATAACCTTGAAATCAGACTAGGAAAGTTAATAGGACTAGAATAGAATAGAATAGAATAGAATAGAATAGAATAGAATAGAATAGAATAGAATAGAATAGAACAGAATAGAATCTAGAAGGGACCTTGGGGGTCTTCTAGTCCAGTCCCCTGCTCAAGTAGGAAAACCTATACCATCACAGACAAGTAACTGTCTAGCCTCTTTTTGAAAATCTCCAGTGATGGAGTGCCCACGATTTCTGGGAGCAAGCTATTCCACTGGTTAATTATCTTCACTGTCAGGAAGTTTCTCCTTAATTCCAGGTTGCTTCTCTTTTTGATCAGTTTCCAACCATTGTTTCTTGTCCTGCCCTCTGGTGCTTTGGTGAATAACGTGACCCCCTCTTCTTTGTGGCAGCCTCTCAAATACTGCTATCATGTCTCCCCTATTCTTTTCTTTAGACTAGCCAAACCAAGTCTTGCAGCCATTCTTCGTATGTTTTAGTCTCCAGGCCTTTGATCATCTTAGTTGCTCTTCTCTGAATTTTTTCCAAATTCTCAACATCTTTTTTGTGATATGGTGACTAAAATTGGCTGCAGTATTCCAGGTGTGATCTTACTAGGGTTTTATAAAGCAGTACTAATACCTCATGTGATCTTGATTCTATGCCTCTGTTTATACAACCCAGGATTGTATTAGCTTTTTTGGCGGCTGCTGCACACTGCTGGCTCATGGTTAAGTGATCGTCCACTAGGACTCCAAGGTCCCTCAGTTATTGTTTTTAAGCCAGGTCTTGCCCAATCTGTACTTGTACCTTTGATTTTTCCTGCCTAAATGTAAAACTTTGCTTTTCTTCCCCACTGAAACTCATTTTGTTGGATAGGGCCCATTGTTCAAGTTTGTCAAGATCTTTTTGGATCCTTAGGTGGTCTTCTGGGGTGTTGGCTACTCCTGCCAGTTTGGTGTCGTCTGCAAATTTGATGATTTCCCCTTCAATTCCATCATCTAAGTCATTGATGAAGATATTGAAGAGTACTGGGCCTGGAATGGAACCTTGTGGTACCCCACTGCTTACTTCTCCCCATGTGGATGTAGTGCCGTTGAGGATTACTCATTGAGTTCAGTTTGCCAGCCAGCTACAGATCCATCTGTGGTGATATTGTCTATTCCACCTTTTTCTAGCTTACCAAGGAGTAGGTTATGGTCTACTTTATCAAATGATTAACTGAAGTCTAAGTATACTACATCTACAGTATTTTGCTGGTCTACTAGTTTGTTTAGTCACTTTGTCAAAGAATGAAGTAAGATTGGTTTGGCATGATTTGTTTTTAACAAACCTGTGCTGGCTACTAGTTATAACTTTGTTTGCTTCTAGTTGTTCGCAGATCTGTTTTCTAATTATGTTTTCTATCTTCCCAGGTCTTGATTGGTCTGTAGTTTCCTGGGTCCGTTTTTTTTTCCTTCCTTGAAGATGGGAACCACATCAGCCCTTTTCCAATCCTCAGGTGCTTCCCCTGTGCTCCAAGATTTTTTAAAGATATGATGCAGTGGTTCTGAGATAACATCTGCCAGCTCCTTCAGAACTCTGGGGTGTAATCTGTCAGGCCCTGGTGATTTATATTTGTCAAGGTCGGATAGGTGTTCTCTTACCATTTTCTTGCTTATTTTAATTTTTGTTTCTAATTTGTCTTTTGCAGTAGTTTTCTGGTATGTTGGGCTTTGGTTTCTTTTTGTGTGAAGATTGATGTAAAGTATGAGTTAAGCAGCTCTGCTTTCTCCCTGTTGCCTGTTATTTCCTTGCCATCTTCTCTCTTTAGTGGACCTACAATTTTCTTGACTTTTTTCTTGTTGTTAATATGTTGGAAGAAACTTTTTTTTATTATCCATGATTTCTGTTGCAAGTCTTTGTAAGTTCTGAGCCTTTGCTTTCCTGACTTCATCTTTACATGTTCTGGCTGTCTGCTGATAATCGGCCTTAGTTATGTGCTCCTCTTTCCATTTTTTGTATTGTCCTTTTTGTCTTTCAGTTTGTCAGAGAGATCTTTGTGCAGTCATTCTGGTTTCTTCTTGACTTTCTTGTTTTTCTTTTTCAGTGGTATTGTGCTGGTCTTGGCTTTTATGATAGCAATTTTGAGAGTTTCCCATGCTTCTTGTGTTGTTTTCCACTTTAGGATTTTCATCCATGGGATCTTTCCTAGGTTCTCTCTTGAGTTTGTTAAACTCAGCTCTTTTGAAGGTCAAGACACTGGTTGGATTGTTTTCTGTTGATAGTGTTTGTGTTATATTAAATTCCAGTATGACATGGTCACTTTTGCCCAAGGTTCCAGCAACTTCAACTCCATTACTTCTTCTCTATTAGTTAGAATTAAGTCCAGTATGGCTTTACATCTAGTTCCCTCCTCCACCTTTTGGATGACAAAGTTGTCAGCTAGGTTGGTTAGGAATCTGCTTGATCTCCCACTTGTTGCAGAGTTTGTCTCCCAATTGATATCTGGATAATTGAAGTCTCCCATTACTATTTTGGTATGCTTCCTACATACATTTGTTAATTGGTTGGCAAAGAGTTCATCTACTTCTTCTGATTGGTTGGGTGGTCTGTAATATATACCTATGGTAATGTCACTTTTTTTCTCTTTTATATTGACCCATATGCATTCTGGAGAGATTTTATCTTTGATCCTGTGCGTTTCTGTAGATATGTAGTGTTCTCTTACATATAGTGCAACACCCCCTCCTCTTTTTGTAGACCTGTTTCTTTTGAACAATTTGTATCCATCCATCAATCCATTCCATTCATGAGTTTCATCCCACCAGGTTTCTGTAATACCAACTACGTCATACCCTCCGTCATGTACTATTGCTTCTAGTTTACCCTGTTTGTTCCCCAAGCTTTGTGCATTTGTATATAAGCGTTTCAGGCTTTTGTGCCTGTGTGTGGGTATGTTTCCTGCATCTTCTGAATGTTGTTTGAGTTTTTCTTTTTTTCATCTCTGCCCACCTCATTGTTTGATTTGTTTTCTTGGGATTTATGATTGGTTTTCGGTTCTAGAGATTCTGAAGATTGGTCATCCTTCCCCCTCAATTTTAGTTTAAAGCCCTCCTGATGAATTGGGCCAAGTACATTTTTCCCTGTTTTCGTGAGGTGCAGCCCATCCCTTGCCAAGAGTCCTTCGTAAAGGAAATGCAGTCCATGATCCAGGAAACCAAAGTTTTCTTGGTGACACCAACCCTTTAGCCAGTGGTTTATTTCTAGAATTCTTTTTTCCCTCAATGGGTGTTGGCCTTTTGTTGGGAGTACTGATGAGAACACTACTTAACTTTATTGCCTAGTTAACTTTATTGCCTAGTTATTTGTAGTCATTCACTATTATACTCAGGTTCTTTGTTGTGTCATTCATCCCAATGTGGAGGAGGAGGAAGGGGTTCATATGTTCATATTAGTAAAGTTGGAAGGGACCTTGGAGGTCATCTAGTCCAACCCCCTGCTCGGGCAGGAAACCCTACACCATTTCGGACAAGTGGCTGTCCAGTCTCTTCTTAAAAACTTCCAGTGTTGGAGCATTTACTGCTTCTGGAGGCAAGCTGTTCCACTGATTAATTGTTCTCACTGTCAGGAAGTTTCTCCTTAGTTCTAGGTTGCTTCTCTCCTTGATTAGTTTCCACCCGTTGCTTCTTGTCCTGCCTTCAGGTGCTTTGGAAAATAGCTTAATTCCCTCTTCTTTATGGCAGCCCCTGAGATATTGGAAGACTGCTATCATGTCCCCCCTTGTCCTTCTCTTCGTTAAACTAGACATACCCAATTCTAGCAACCGTTCCTTATATGTTTTAGCCTCCAGTCCCCTAATCATCTTTGTTGCTCTTCTCTGTACTCTTTCTAGAGTCTCAACATCTTTTTTGCATCGTGGTGACCAAAACTGGATGCAGTATTCGGTTAGGTTCTCAGCCACGTTTGATTTTTGCTCCAGGGAGACAACATACCTCCCTGGGTTGTATGTCTGGTCTGCAGATGGATGATTCCGTTCCTTTGAGGACACTAATAGAAAGTGAGTAGAGTTCTTTATATTGACTTCTCCCTATCTTGAAATTTAATTCTAAATACCAAAAAATATGCACACACACACATACACAAAATAGCTGTGTTAAAGGGATGTGCATTAACACAAATTACAATCACATCACTGTGAATGTTGTAATTTTTAAAACTTCATGAAGGACTGTTTTTGTACACTGCTATTCCTGAAATTTCGTATCTTTCAAGTCTGAGAGTCCAATCTTTATTAAAACACCTAGCTGGTAGGAAAAGTATATTTCTTACATAGCTGCACCTATTCTGATTTAAACTAGAAAAATCACTGCTCTGCCTCAATATGAAAAATAACTTTGCAAGCAATTGGATGATTCTAATTTTAGGCAGCAAACGTCTTAAAGATGGATATTACCTCTTTTTTTATATTTCTACATATATATGGAAAACAAATTTATTTCAATGAAGAATGCAGAGTATAGTTGTACATACAAACACAGCTTATTCTTGTAACCAGGTTTATTTATGCTTATGTAAAACACAGAAAATATTATTACAGATCTTGAGAATGTGTCTTAGATATTGCCCCATCATCTGCACTGTAAATTGATATTAATGACTGAACAGCCACAAGCCAGATCAACATACCTTGAGGGGCCGAGAATCCTCATCATCAGAATCTCTGAATTCTATGCCCACTGCAATATTTCTTGCCTAAAAAGAGCATAGAAATTAAGTTTAATTGCTTTTGTTTTCAAGTACATAAATCAAATTTCCAACAAAGAGACATGGTTTTATCCAGATTCAATTTAGCTTTGAATCTGAACATAATTAACAGGCACATTAACTCACCTTTGCAAACGACTTCTGGCTGTCATATTTCAAGTGCTTTGGATAAACATAAAGGTGATTGTTGTAGATGGTGAAAGGCTGAGTATGTTTTGGTATGCAGGGAACAAATTCCTCTACTTCAAACGTTACTACTGCCTTGGAACTGTTTTCAAACTGTTTCATGGGAATGTATGATGAATTAACAAAATCTGAAAATATATTAGAATTGAATAAAAAAAATGGAAGAATAAAGCCATTGTAGCCACTTTTACAATAGTTTTTCAATACTTACTTGGTATGTCTGGAGAAACATTATCAATTGTTATGTCTAGATTTCCTAAAATAACTGGCAACTTAGACATCTTTTCAGGCCTATGAGACAGAGAAAAAACAAATATGACCGAACATAAAAATGGCTAATATATTCAATCTCCATTATGGAAATATGCAAAGCATGCTTCAAAAGAGAATAGTTCAACTCATTTCAAGAAGAGATTAATGCAACAAACATTGGACTCACCTTGAAAGAAGGTATGTTTATGGAACTAGCTTTTCCCTAACTCATAGATTGCTGGTATTCCAGTTTCCCATCCCTCCCAAAATTCCCCAGAAAATCAGTGGGACTGACCAACATACTGTATTATGCCTTGCGTGGTATAACAGAGCTGAGAAGCAGAATAGGTAAATCCTCCATTGTTATGCTTTTCTCCCCTTCTGCCTGCCTACAATGACCTTTGGAGAGGCTTTTTAGAAAGCTTATAGAAAAAGATCTAGTACAGGGGTAGGTAACCTTGGCTCTTTTATGACTTGTGGACTTCAACTCCCAGAACTCCTGAGCCAGCCATACTGGCTCAGGAAATCTGGGAGTTGAAGTCCACAAGTCATAAAAGAGCCAAGGTTGCCTACCCCTGATCTAGTAGATGCTGAATGGTCCTCTGTCAGAGATGCTCCAGAGGAAGCTGCACTGAGCAGGAGACTGGACTAGATGTGTTCTAAAATTCCTCCCAATTCTACAGTTTCATGAAATACACTGTGCTTTGTATTCTAGAGAAACAATGTTTTTTTTTCCTATTGACATAATACACAATACAACTTTGTACCTGCAAACCCTATGTGCATATTCATGCAGTTTTTAATTCAAAACATCCACAAAATATTTTCACAAACTTCACTAAAATTCTCATCCATAGAATTATCTTTGCAATTTTTAGTCTTTTCAAAAAATGCCTTCTGTTACAATACTTTTACTTAACCAGTACATTTGCAAGAAGATTTTCATTTTTTTTCTACATATGACTTTTTATAGTTTCAAACAACAGGAAATCTTTCTTTTTAATTCTGTTTTACTCTATTTACATTTTACTAGTAAGGAAAATGTATAAATAGTATCCACTTTTGCAAGGAAACATTCAGAACTCACGAGTCAGGTTTCAAACTCCTAATTCTTCCACAGTGCTCTTAATACATCAAAACTAAATGTACAATTATTGATATAAATTTTTTTAATCATGAAATATATATCAGTACTAAAGACTTATGACATGTATATTTAAAGCCAGTTTGGAATAAATCACTTAAGTAGGATCATTCATAAATAAACTAATTAAAAATCAATATAAAATATAGAAGAGGAAGATCTGGAGAGCTTTGATTTATCATTTCACAACTCTTCTATAACATTACAGTCATAACTCTATTGGAGATAGAAAAAAGAAGCACCACACAATTCCAGACAACACATGTGACACAAACCAGTTTATTACCATTTGAATAATTTCATTTCTATGTAAAACAAAACACTCACTTTCTGAAATCAGCTAACAATTTAAGCATGTCTTCATTTGAAAGTTTGTTACTATCTTGTTTGTAAAGTGTAGAAAATCTTGCACTTTTGTCCAGTGTTCCAGCCATGTCCTTAAACAGTGTTCTAAAATACAAGTTTTTAAAATAAAAAATGTCTATATAAACATTATGGTGGGAAAATAGAGAGGCAGTTTAGAAAACCATAACACATTAACTTACTAAACTTAGCATAAATGGTTGAACAAAAAACAGTACATTTCAATTCTAGCTAAATCATTTGTCACAAATAATGGGTTGATACCAAACTAGAAATACATTTAAACCATTACTTTTATTCAAGGAGGAGGAGCCCTCCCATAAATTAATTTACTAATTTAGGAAATCATGGCACTACAAGTCACAGAATTATTGGATTAAATCAAGAACACTATCATGCATTACCTGGCTGCCCATGCAAATGGCATTCTGTACTGCCCTAGACGTTGGCAAGCCTGTTTTGCATTTTTCAGAACCTTTTGAGCAACCTGTAAACAATCATAAAAAGAACCGAATTACAAGAAGGAGTTTTTGTCTACTTTAGAGGAATGGTTTCTTAAAGTTTCTTATTTATCTGAAATGGCAAAAATTTCGGCTTATTTGAAAGATCAATCGCAAGAGAAATATTTTTTGGTGTGGAAAAAATGGGTGAATTTTATACAGCACAAATATGAGATTAAAAAGTATTATCTAGCTTTTGAATAATTTATGTTTAAGGTAACGATTAGAACTATTGTTTTGTTTTGTTTTTATATATTGGAGTTAAAGTATTTAAAATTTTGTTGTTTTTTTGAATGTATTTATAATTATTTGATGTTTATTTAAGTTCTAAGGTTTTTTTTTTAGTTTTTATTAACCCTGTATTCAGCTCTGGGAAGAAGGGGGGAGGATGATGGGTGGGAGGGGTGGGTGGGAGAGGGGGATTATTTTATTGTAAAACTGCAAAAATTTTCAATAAAAAAAGAGAACCGAATTACAACTAAAAATCCTCCCGCATACATCTCTGCAATCTCCATTCTTACTGAAACTGAAGTTTCTTCCACTCCCTTTTCTTAACTTATCAAACTGTTACTGGCATCAAGCTCACAGTTAAATTAAGCCTTAATTCCTAAAATTTATCTAAAAAGTTGTTTCCCATGTTTTTATTACAATTAAGTTCTTGTTTTCCAAATGGATCTTAAAACTAAAGCAATATTTGAGACTCCTTAACATTATTCAATAATTGATTTTACAATTTTTTTTTAGTCTGCTTTGTCAATTGGTAAACAAATTTCAGCACAGAAGATGCAACTTTGTCTGCAATCTGTATCTGCCCGTGTTTGCCAAGTGTAGGAATTAAACTGATATCAAAATCTGGCAACAATGTCTTGAATATGCGCCCTTTTCAGTTTGATAAAATTGCTGAGTTACCAAGTTATAGACAAATTCAGAAAATAGAAATACCCAACAATCAAAGTAAATACCTTAGAAGAATCAGAACTTTTCATATATGGCTCAGCACAGTGAGTAATGCTCCCTTGTAGAACTTTTTCTATTCTGGCCACTAGAAATATATCTGGGTGTGGACACGTTACTGAGAATATTCCCTAAAAATAAATTAATTGTTTCATTAATTATTAAATATAAATATGGAACATTGATTTGTAATGAAACACTATTTTTTCCTTACTTGTTTGGGATATTGTAGTATAACATCTGAAATAATATCCTGAATTGGATGTAAGCAATCACAACTCCCATTCAACAACTCCTGTGACGTATTAGCTAGCATATGTCTCACTGTGCTATGATTCAAATCAACATGGAAATCTGATGAAATCTTCCGATTATGCTTAACGTCAAATAGTGACAGTGAGATGAAAAATGGCTCTACCTAGACATAAAAAAGAAGACGTGAACATAATAATGGCAAATGCTAATTTACTTGTAACAATAGATAATGTAGAACTTCTAGTAGAAAAAGCAGTCCTTATATTGCACATCAATGTTTACATTATGAATGCCATTAAACAGAATATTCCCTTATGTGCTACATGATTTTCGTGTTGTCTAGATCAGTGATGGCAAACCTTTTAGAGACCAAGTGCCCAAACTGCAACCCAAAACCTATGTATGTATCCTCAGGTGCTGGGTGGGCATGGCCCATTGGGTGGGCGTGGCTGCGGTAGTAACGGCAGACTGGATGGGACTAAAAAGTTCAGTCAATCTATTCCAACTTTGCGAGATCTTTTTTTTTTCCCGTGAGGTTGAAATTGATTGATTGATTGAACCTTTTTTTTTTTTTGCTCATGGCGGTGGAGACCTAAAGCGAAAAGGTTTTATAAAACCCAGCTGAAGGCCTAGGACTGGGGCAACAGTGCGCGTGCCCACAGAGAGGGCTCTGTGTGCCCATAGGTTCGCCACCACGGGTCTAGATCATACCACCACATGTATAGTCAAATGTTTAATACTACAATATTATATTCATTAAAAATTCACATGTGCATCTATTTAAACAAAACTTAATCAGCTCTATATAACTTCTAATTTCTTGCTATAGTAAAATCTTGTCACTCAATTTGTTCTTGCACTGGATTGTAAAACTCTAATAAACTGATGAAATTATATTGTCTCAGAATGTTTTGATTCCTAAACATCAAAATATGTATTAGGTATTATTCTTGAAATATTACACGATAGATTCACCATTCCAACTTACATTTGTTGTTGGTCCCTCTTCGTTTTCAGCCACACAGCTTTGTAGATTGAAAGATAAGTCATTGCACTTCACCAGGATTTTCTTCCCAAACTTCTCTTCAAATGGCTTTACTTCAGGCTCAATACCAGAGAAGTCTAGTTTCTTTAAAAGAAACAAACATTGAAAATAACTTTTAAATGCTCAAATACTCAAGGCTTTATATAAAAGCTTTGGATTTTTCCCTGCAATCAGTCTTACCTGTGCATCTGGGTCCAGTGCAAAGAGCTTAACCCTGCTTTCATTTCTGAATTTGAATTCAGAATCTCTGCAACTCTACAAAATAAAATGGCATTTTAAAATTAATAAACATATTTTTCCTTCTTTCTTTTGGTAATTTCTCCTAGACTAAATCGATCTCTCAAGAACAGATATTGAGCCCTCTGTAGGACTAGTGATAATAGTATCACAGGCCAGTTTGGGCTCTAAAATATTTCTCACAGGTATGGCGAACTGATTTTAGTTTTAAATCTTTCTTCCAATTTATCATCTCTAGGCATAGTTCTAAGTACTTTGGATCATTTCCCACAATAGACAAACAAGTATATTTTTGACTCATTTTTTAAATTGGGTTCTCTTTTTTATCTAGCTTTGGGACTTGTGAAAACAGTCCATGTTTTAGATCATATTTATGCAGAAAGCTTGAAAAAGATACACAAACTGTTAACCACCAACGTACATCAAAAGTATTACAATTTATTAAGATATACCTTGAGCTGCAAGTGCAAATTTGGCCCAAGAAAAAAAGTAAAACTTTACCAAGAACACAAGTTTGAGAGACGAAAATTGGAGAATATCAAACAATGACAAAACTGATAATACAGATTCATAATAGAACCCTAACTGAATTCAAACAGGAAGGGCTTCTTTATATGCAACAAATTGCAGTATATTGCAAGGTAAAAAACTGGAATACAGTTTTTTAGGGTAGGTTTCTCATAATACTGCCTGCCTGCCTGCCAGCTAGCTATCTGATGTATATGGGCAGTGTCTTTCGAGAATTCTAAGCAGTTCACAATAACTGAAGAACTACAAAACTATAAAACTAAAAACTCCACACCTCAGCCATCCTGAGATTCCCTTTTCTACCTACCAACCCTGAGTAAACAGCCAGGTCCCGATGGCCTTCCAGAAGGATCTAAGGCTGGGGGGAGGGGCTGCCAGATTGTTGGTGGGATGGTGTTCTACAAGGTAGGCGGAAGTGTAAAAATATGGCAATTCTTTAATGTGCTAGTATATTTTATTCTGCACTATTTTAGAATAGAAATAGAATCTATTTCTGTAAATTCTACATTTTACTTGCTTTTGTAGTAAAATATAACCTTTCTGACCAACCTTATTTCCTGTCTAGAATTATTCTGGTTCAGAAAAAGAAGTAGATGACATTGATAGAGAAGACTTCAGTATACCAAGAATGGGACTGGCAAGTATCTCCTGCAAAGATTTATCGTGAAATAGAACAGGCCACCTTGTCATGAATAGTCAACTTTAAAAAATGAATGACGACAGCATCTCCAACACAGAGAAATACAATTGCCAAGCTATTCTGTAATGTTTGTTTCTACAGAAAAAAATATATAACAGGCTGATACCAAGAAACAGAGCATAATTCACAAGGGCACTTATATTTTGAAACCATCCAGAAATTAAACAAAATTAATCTTACTGTAAATAGCAACAAAAAGTACACAGTTCAGAATACAGGGGAAATAGTACCTAAGAAAAACATAAGCCAAAATAGCTGCTGGATCTTAAGGAAACACGAAGCCACATTTGAGGTACCAAGATTAGATATAATAAGCAGGTGCTCTGAACCTCAGGAAACAGCCAAATCCCAGTCACTTTCTATAAAGTTCAACATTTCCTGTTTCACACTGTATTTTAACTGAATTTAGAAAGAAATAATTTTGAATGCATCTCATAAGTTTTGTATTTAGTTTCATGTGCATCAGAGGCTAAAATTATATACCATGCACAACCATCTAGTCATCCCTATATCATACACAATTCACATTTTGCTTTTAATGACCATAAAAGACATTTCTAGAATGAAAAGTATGATGTGACGTCAATAAATTTAAACTTCACCTTGTAGAAAATTGCTTAGTTCCTTTCCCAGTCCCAGAAAAAATGTTGACATTTAGTTCCAGAGGTTTTTTTAAGGCTGTCCCTTATTGATATATGGTAATGTCCCATTACATGATAACGTTCTATCAAAAATTATGTCCTAATTCTTACATTACATTGTGAGATGCAATGCAGATGTTTACCTGATCTAAGCAGAATTTTCAAGGGGTAAAAGCATACAGCACATTGCAAAGAACAGAAGTTTCTTAAACAGAGAGCTCCAAATAGGAGCCAACTTTCTGGCAAGAAGAATTCATCAGACAGTAACAAGTTAAGATAAAAAAAAACCTATGCCAGAATAATTAATCTGACAGTAACAAGTTAAGATAAAAAAAAAACCTAAGAAGAACTAAAATGTTTAGTAAGGAATGGAAATGAAATTCCAGCCAAGAGGCTGTATACAGGGCACAATACAAAATAACATGTTCCATTGTTTCAATTATTTCTCCACCACATGGACACAATCTCTGTTCAAAAGGGATGTTTTGGTATCTCCTTTCAGTAATAGCTTGCTTTGAGCAAAAAGAGCTCAAGGTAAGCAGAATACTAGCAAGAATTCTGCCACTAATGTAATTCTGGGACTGAAGTCCACACATTGTAAAGTTGCCAAAGTTGAGAAATACTGAACTAAATTAAGGAAGAGAAGCTAAGAGATTTTAACTATGGATCTGTTGAAGATATCATTTATTCATGTCTGATCCTCAACATACTGCTTTAATATATCAATCTTATCACTAAATCAGACTACTTATTTCCTTGAGTGTAATTTTTCTAAATGTAAAACACTATTAAACCTAAAGGCCAATGAAACTATTCTGATAGAAATATTTACTTTCGTTAATTTCTTATTCTATCAAGGATTAGGTGTACTTAAATAAGATTCTGATCACTTTACAATGATTAGTATTAACATTTTCTTTATATTTGCCTACCGAGAAAATCTAGCTTGAAATTATGAAAAAACTCAAAAAGTATTCTTTCTAACAATCTAAGTTTTATTTAACAACTGTACCTCAAAAATAAACTTTCCTGGTAAGTATCAACATTCTTTTCTTAATAAGGTTTATAAATTTTAGCAATTTTCAAAATTCACTTGATTTAGAAATGAAGCATTCCAACGAACTATGGAATATTCTATTCCTGCCCTTGATCATGACAAAGACTTTTGGATCTTGCTGACTTAAGTGGCTGTTTATTGACATCTTCCATCCTTCAAACCAGAAACAATTTGAGGTGTTCAGAGAGTGGTTCGAACCTTTAAAAAAGCTTGTTTTATCAAGACTACTATGTGCTGGACACCTTAAACCTTGTTTAATTTAAAGTATTTAATTTTAGAAATGAAAAACTGCTGCTGGGTTGAGAGTTTGATATAGATAAGAGGGGCAACTGGACATTCCAGAATGTTCTATTTTGCAGATTCTATTACATACAGTCATTTCATATTGTAAAAGAGAAAATAGCACAAGACTACCTTTGCAATTTCAGGAAGGTAAGTATCTAAACCAGATGCGCTGTCCATCCTGTTTTGTTCATCTTCTGTTAATTAAAAAAAAGTTTTAAGAGGTCCATTGATCATTATAGAAAAATGTTATAATCAAGAATCTCACAAGTTTTCAAAATTCTGAAAATTGTAATCTTTCACACTATTCAGGAACAAAATTCAAATGGGCAATTTTCTATTTTCTATTAAGTACTGTTTGATGTTGGACTGTATCTAATTTGTCATTATCACAGCATTCTGGCACTTGTAAGAATTAATTCTTAAGACTCACAACAGCCTGATTTGTAAAAACTAAATGAGATTCATTGTGAATATATTATTTATATCTATATATCTTATTTTGACAGTAAATGTTTTTGATAATATATATCTGTATAGGCTACCAAAAACAGAGGAAAGTCCTGTATAAACTCCCTTTTTATGACTCTGCAGTCCCTGTTCAGGGTAGAATCGGCAACTAGATGGAATTGAGCATTTACTGGCCAGATGCCCTTCTGATGCCTACACAGAATTCACAGCAGATATTTTTTCTTTGTGCCCTTGGAGAGAAACATCTGCTGCTACCGAGGATAGAACTCTCAGCCTTCCAAGAGGGAGCTGAGTGTGTCCACCACTAGGCCATCACGCCGCTGTTTGAAAATTACTTACCGGTATAAGCTATTATGAATTATAGAGAAAAACCTTTCTTTTACTGAATAGCTTGCAAGTAACTTGAAAATAATTTGCATTTACCGTCATGTGAGTCCTCATATCTCTTTTCTTGCATTGCTACTTCAAAATTTAATTGGAGAATTTTGTTTAGAGTTGTAATCCATTCTTCCATTTCTGCTTCACTATCTGCCGCAAGTAGATAGCTACTTTTGTCCTGCATCTTGAGCTCAAAGGCAAAACGCCGGACTTTATTGTTCTGCAATATAATAAAAAATATTAATCTAGCAGCTTCAACAGATTTTCTTTTCTCCCTCCCCCCTGTAATTTTGGACTGCTAAAAGAAACTACCACTTTTAGGCCTAAAATACTGAACTGAGGAAATGTATTCACTCTCAATGTTTGAATGAATAATGGAAAGACTGAACAATATGATTCATTGTGGGCAAGATTTAATTTCATGTAAAAATATAATGTTTTCTCTATTTCTATTTTAATATATATTGTGATGGGGTATATGTGTGTGTGTGTGTGTTTCTGCTTTTGTTGAGATTTTCTTTTACTTTACTATTTTTATTGATTTTTCTCGTTTTGGGAGATATGAGAAGAAAAAAGCGAGACAGTCGCTTTTTATAATATCTCTCTAGTTGTTTAGACATAATTTTTAAGATTAAATATAATAAAATTATATAGAAAAACCCATTCGGGTATTAAGAACCAAATACTTCCCAAATGACAGCTTGTTTATTTTGCTCAATTTATTGTTAGAAGTCCTTTTACATTGCCAAAAAAGAGAAAGAAGTCAAAACAGGTCCAACAATTCATAATAATTTTGGGACTTCCACAGATTTATTTTGAACATATTGATTACAAGAAATTATGCTTACGAAAATGACATTCATTTTATGAGTTATGGTAAAAAAACAAGAACTAAAATATTTTCCATCTTAAATTCTAGTTTCTCTAATTAACCATGGGCAAGTTTTCCATAATATTCTGCCTGAGAAGTATTATTAATTTAAATAATAATGTGGAAGAAAGACCTGTAATGAAGGATGAGAAGACTGGTTTGCCAGAAAATGTAAGGCAAAATATTGAAGGTTTCAACTTATATTTTCCCCCTGATTTTTGAAGAACTTTGGCATTTTGGTTATCAACTTAAAATTATATTTAGCAAAATTCACATAAGAGATATTTCCAAGGAAAAAAAACACACATCCTGATTGTGTTCACATGCAATATTAAATCATGGTTTAGCATTATAAGTAGGAGCCAGAATATCCTGAATAAAGAAGGATCTCATTCTCATTTTCTTCTTGCTATTTGGGTAGACTTCAGCAGCATTGGAGTTCACTGTTGTAGATAGCATTAATGAATACTAAAACCTGCTGTTGATTTTTTTAAGTTGTCTGCTGGGTACAGTATTGTAATTCAAGATTCTGTAAAAGTGAAAGTAAACTCTTCTGAACTATTCTCCCAAAAGTGTCCAAGAGGGAAATGGAGAATACATGATCATGAAGCTTTGTTCAAGCTTATTTGCTTCTAAATATAATGCTCAACCAGAGTTAATATTACATGCACCAGAAACAAGTTTATATTAAACTATTAAACAGAAGAAAAAAATCTGAAGGTAATTAATAAGAGTGCATAATTCCAGGCTTGTTACATCAGAACAAGTTCCCAGCATTCTCCATGCTTAGCATGCAAATGAAAAATGACTGGTTTTTGTTTTTTTGTTTTTTGGCCTTTCGAGTGAAAGATACTTTTTCAGTCTAGATCAGGGGTGTCAAACTGCCAGCCCATGGGCCGGACACGTCATATGGAAGCCGCACCCACCCCATTGCCGGCAATGGCAAAACAGTCCCAATACTTACGGGATGTCGTGAGTTTGACATGTCTGGTCTAGATCATTATTTTTCAAACTTAGCAATCCACTAGCTGCTCAAAAGATAAATTTTGTAGCAATAAATGTAGCACCAATTCCTGAATAACTTAGTTCAAAAAACATGAATCTAGGTTTATTAATTCAACACTTAAACTGGAACTCTTTTTTATTAAGTTCTTATGAAAACACAGTATTTTATAATACTTGCTCACTAAAAACATAAAGCCTTTGTAATAAAAAAATATTTCTATCATGCAGAGGACCAATAATGCAATTCTAATAAATTGATTCAAAATCAATTCCTGTTGCGTTTAATGAATTTACACTTTATACAAGTAAATAAGTATAAAGGTTTAATTCCAAAGCACTAGAAGAAATACTATAGGTTTCTGCAAGAGTTACACATCATATCAAACAATATAATTCTCTACTTACTTGGACAACTCCCATGCAGGAATCCAAAAAAATTGAGCCTTTTGGTTCTTTTGATATTTTTTCATCTTTGTAGAAATTAAGATTATATGATCCATCACCAAGTTGAAGGAGATGAAAAAATCTTCTTTTGAATGACTAATTTGTGAAAAATTACATTATATTAAAAACAAAAGCAATGTGACACAGGAACCAAAAGCATCTCTTTAACTGTGCGCACAACACCGCAAACTTCTTTTATACATTAAGAAGTATTACTGAGATCAATGTACACTTGTACATTATACAGCATCACAGTATTTTATGAATGGACAAAAATTCTACATACCCTCATAGTAACACTGATTGCACTGTTCATGTTCCCTTTATATAACCATCCTTGTTTTGTAAGTCCACCCTTTTGAGATCCTAGAGATGCAGCATCCTATTAAAAATAAACTTCATATAAACTCATGAGTAAAACATTTAATTTTTTTCAACTCTATAAATAAAATAACTAATAAACAATTGCTTTGATGTAACTTAAATATGCAGAAAAGTTTCCTATGCTATATGACTATTGAGCATAATTCAATTTTGCCAAAAGAAGAGAAACATAGTATTATAGCGCTCATTCATTATAGTTTCCTTCTTGTTGTTCAATATTAGATCATAAAGTTAAAGTAAATTCTAAAAATACAGCTAAATCTCATTAATTAAGTGAATAATCAACTTTGATTAAGAAAGAATTATAACTTAAGCACAGTATTTATCAATTTTGTGGATGATTTTAAAATGCTTTATCTAAGTCTAAATATCTTGGTCAGAACAGCCAGGCAGTCTATTAAGGACTGGATTAGCTGGGATTAATATTCCTGTCCAGTCTATTAAGATGTCCCGTCTGTTATAGGGCCCTTTGGAACATCAGCTCCTCCCAAGATTAGATTGTCCAAATACTGCTGGCCTTTCATAAGGCCTCAGACATGGTTTTGTCACTGAGCATGGAAGTTCACATATGTGGTAGATCCTGTGCTTGTTGATTTGCTTGTTGTAGGGCAGGGATTCCCAACCCTGGGCCATGGCATATTCGGAACTGGGCTGCATGAGCAATGGGCCGATGTGCAAGTGCGCACCTCAAGTTGCACAAGCTGGCTTGCATGCACACACATGCACAGATCAACTTGCGCAAGTTGAGCTGTGCATGTATTTGCGCCGACCCACTGTTCACACAGCCCTGAACCCCTCTCCCCGCCCAGCTGGGCCACCAAGCCGTAAAGGTTGGGGATTACTGTTTTAGGGAGTTTTTTTAACCTTAGCTACACATTAAATTTTTTTGTTAAATGCTTTTATTGTGCTTTTAACTGTTGTTAGTTGTCCAGAGTCATGTATGTAAAGTGGGTGGCCGTATAAATTGAAATTAGGAACACATAACTCAAATATATAATTTTAGCTTGGCAATAAAAATGTATATAAAAGAAGAGCTGGTCTCTAAACAAAACTGTACATTCTTGCAGGTCAGCATAAGAAAAAAGACCACACTAATAAACTATTAATTCCTAAAGAGTTGGAAGAAGCAAGGCAATGTAATACTTCTCTAAAAAGACTAAGGAAACCAGATACTTAAGGGAAAAATGGAAGGAGAAAAAAAAACCATATAAAAATAGCAGATGGTATCAGAGAGAGGAGTCTTTCTTAAAAATATAATAATAATTTTATGAAGGAATATATAATCTTTTTCACAATCTTCGTTTTATAAATCCATCTGTTGTTTTTTTCAAGGAGTATGAATTAATATACGAGTGTTTTAATAACTCTTAAATTCTTGTTTTATTTATTTATTGGATTTATATACCACCAACTATAAATTCATAGTAGCTTACAAAGATAAGGTAATTTATGGTGTATGTATTTTAAATTTAAATGATATTTTAATGTTGCATTACCATCAAGAAATGCACTGAATTATAAGGTAGTTTTAAAATAATAAACAAAATTCATAAGGAACTACCATATACTTCAATTTGCACATTATTTACAGTTCTTATGCCTGATACAGATCACTGAGGCAAAGTAATATATTATTTAATATATTTAAAAGATTTCAAGATAAAATTACTTCTTATTAACTATAACATTTTGTTATTCCCAAAGCGGCCTATATTATAACAACTTAAAAATGAACTGAAGTAAAATAATCAAAATAACAGACTTGCCTCATCCTTATCTGCTTCTTCATCAACTTCAAAAACATGAACTGGAAGCTTTTCTAATCTGTTCCCTTTGCTAAGAAAAAAAAGACACATAACACATAATAATTATTACAGGAAAACACACTGCAACAGCTTGCCAGTGTGTGAAAGTATGATTAAAATATACAGCACATGAAAGACTCTAAAAGAGAATGCCTATAATGAAAGTAATAATAGTTTTGTTTTTGCTTTTTTTTTTACTTTAGCATTTTGAATGCAAATGTAGCTAAGATTTGCAAACAATTTGAAATTTGTTTTATAAGTGTAGGGAAAATCATTTAAAAACCCATTAAACTAATCGTTGACATCCTTGTTATAATCTGTTAATGTTAAATTTTCACCTGCTTAAAATGAGGACCTACAGCATACTATTTCTTCATTAAACTGACATATTCTGCCTTTATAGGAAAATGGTTAACAGAGTCTCATACATTTCTGCAGCTATCTGTATGCAGTACTGACAGTATTCACATTTCAAAGTGGAATTTTAAAAATTAATGATAGCAATAGCGCTTAGACTTTTATACCGCTTCACAGCGATTTACAACCCTCGCTAAGCAGTTTACAGAGTCAGCATATTGCCCCCCAAAATCTGGGTCCTCATTTTACTGACCTCAGAAGGGTGGAAGACTGAATCAATCTTGAGCTGGTGAGACCTGAACTGCAAACTGCTGGCAGCTGGCAGTCAGCACAATTAGCCTGCAATACTGCATTCTAACCACTGAGCCACCAGGACTCAATTATGAATAAGCAACATGGTTCTTGCTTCTCTTGGAACTATGAAACAAACTGCAAATGTTCTTTCAATATTGTTGTTTTTGTGAAACCCATATTGCAGAATTGAATCATCCTAAGAAATTAAATCTGGAAACCAGGAAAAAACATGTTTCCAAATCTGGTCTATTAGAACTGAAATGGAAGCAATTTCCAAGTATCTACCATATTAAATATTAAAAGTTAACTACAATTATCTCTAAGTGTAATATAAAGCTTAAGACAAAAATTGCTTACTTTGGAAGCTGCCGAAAGTCTCCTGAGTAATCTTCATATTTGAAATTGACAACATGCCAGTCAGAGATGTATGTCTTAATACACTTTAAATTAGGACAAAAATTAAACTTTAGATCAATTCTTTATGCAACAATACATTTATCTTAGTAATTTGAGTACTTGCTCTTATCACACCACTATTTTTATGCTAATTAAAGAAAAAAGAAGAAATTTTCATTCCTTTTTGTCGATCTTAATTCAGCTACTTATTTATTTATTTATTTATTTTATGAGACTTATATACCGTTTTAAGTGCAAGCACTCTCTAAGCGGTGTACACCAGTAAGCAATGTATATATATATTTACATTGCCCCCAACAATCTGGGTCATTTTACCTACCCCAGAAGGATGGAAGGCTGAGTCAACCTTGAGCCGGTGAGATTTGAACCGCTGACCTGCTGAACATAGTCAGCTAAAGTGGCCTGCAGTACTGCACTCTAACTGCTGCGCTACCTCGCCACCTTCTTAGACTCATGCCCCTCCTGGCAGGTCAAGGATGCCCAGATGGGATGTGGCAAACTCTTCCTTGAGGGAGGGGGAAATCCCACAGCCTCTGAAGAAAGTGGTGGTGCATCCTTTTCTCAAGGGACCATTGCTTGGCCTGACCAATCTGGACAACATTCAGTTTCCAACCTTTCCTTTTAGGAAAGATTTTGGAGGAGGTAGTCGCACTTCAGCTTCAAAGGACTCTGGATGAACTGGATTATCTGGGTCCCCTTCAATCAGGCCAAGGTATGGGACAGAGACAGTATTGACTGTGCTCTTGGATGGCCTCGGGGGTGGGGGGAGGCGGATGGGGATAGACCATTCTTATTATTCTTGAACGCTCAGTGGCTTTCAATGCCATCTTCATAGTATCCATGATGGGTTCCTATTGTGTTCCTTCATTATGTGATTGGAGTGACCAAAATTGAAAGTTTATATTTAAACATGCCTTTTTTTTCTTATTAGTTAAGGTTATTCCTCCCCCCCACACACACACACACACTGGCTTGATTCCTGTGATTTTAAGCCATAACTTTGATTCATCTTAGGGTAGGAACTGTTAGGTTTCTCACTTAATATATATTCTATATATAATATATAATATATAATATATTCTCACTTAATATAATCCTGATGGAGGCATATGAAGATGCAGAAGCATCCTTTACACAGCATGCCAGGGATTTGGAATCAGACTTGGCCGCCATACTTGGAGGTGTATTCCTGGGCATCTATTCACCTTTTTTCAAGCCAGATGGATTTCTAAGCCAAATAGCAGCTCCCAAATTTCAGAACAGCCCTAAGTCTGGCAAGTTTTAATGCCCACCCAGCAGCTATTCTTCAGGGGAAACACATCCATTTGAATAAATACTTTGCCCTTGTATTGAAGGAGTTCTGAAACACTAACCCATATTATTTTTATATTGCTCCTCTTACAAAGATGTCCACTTGCAGCTAACAGCAGCCTATTTAGCCAGATTCTTAGGCCATCCAGGTCCATTTTATTTATAGTTATTATCTGTTTACTGTGATTTTATTTACCTTAACTTAGTTAAGTTTTGTTTTACTATTTGAAAAATATCTTATACTTTAACTTCTCCAATATTGTAAAGGTAAAGTTTTACTATGGTTTTTATTTGCTATCTTACCATTAGTTTTCCTTTTCTTTGTTCTTTGGAGCTGTATTGTACTACTACTTCTACTAAACTATGATGAATGACAAAACATTCTTTATTCCCACTAAAGCCAGAATCAATACACTCTTTAACTAACCAGACCTGTAGAGTTTATTCTGGCATTCAATGTCCTAAGACATAATGGAGATATTTTCTAAGAAATAGAGTATCTTAGAATACTCTGTTGTACTATAGGGAGAGATGTACTGCAATCTCCCAATAGGTCTGTAGTATGAATGAACAAGAAGTCTGCCAGAGTGATTTTAAAAGACATAATTGTGAACAACTGGCAGCAATAAATGGGAGCAGAAATTGCTTAATCATCTAGCAATTTAATTGGACTAAATTTAGAATGGAGAGAGGACTGGATTTGGATTGATACAGATACATCATGTGAGGTTTCAAAATGTACCCTCCATGAGGAATTTAGAAGAGGAAAAATCTCTATTTCTACTGTCCAAAATCTCTCTCACTGAAACACAAAGAGTCAAACTAATATGCTCAGGTTCAAGATGTAACTATTTTGTGTTATATTTATTAAACAAACAAAGCATTAGTTGTTTGTTTGTACCTGAAATACTAAGTAATGCTAAAGCATACTATTCAGAATATTGAAACAGCCTATTTCTTAAATATCCAGCACATTCTAAGCAGCTGGTTTGGAAGGAAATTTTACAAAACTCTAAATAGCTTCTAAAGTCTTACTTAATAGTACTTCGAGACTGCTGTTCTAGCCAGCTGGAACTCTGAGTAATGGGTGGAGATGAATAGGAACACTTTATTGTTCTTCTCACTGGTTACAATAACAAAGCACACTGTAATACAGACTTAAATAACTAGGATACCACCTCTGGACTGCAAAAATCCAGATGAGCTCCAGATGTCTAAGAGATATAAGAAACCTGATGCCATCTAATGATTATTTAGATTTTTGTAGCCCAGAAGCATTGTATGTTAGAAAGATACAAAAATAAATAGGAAAATATTACCTCCATTACAAATAAGCTACAAGCCTCTTTCTCTGCATTCTCTGGAATTGTAGAACATACATACTGATGTTGTCGTTTCAATACTGCAGTCTTTAATGAAAAAAATACACTCAGTAAGAACTTTATTTGCAGGAGTGAGGTTTAGCCCTAATAGTGAAAATGTATAAAAAAGGTAACCAACATCTCTCCGCCAATTAGCAGTCCATTATAAAAACCAGTGACTTTCGGCCACTCACTCTCTTTCAGTCCAACTCACATCAAATAACTGCTGTTATGGGGAAAATAGGAGGAGGAAAGTTTGATATGTTTGCTGCCTTATTTATAAAAATAATTAAATCATTAAAAAAATTAGTTGAAGGGCAAGCAGGCTCTAGAGCTGTATACTGGTATTAGATCATGCTCTAATTTGCAGTATCTAGTTGGGAAAATACACTTCTAGATCAGGGTCTGCTAAAATCTTCAAATATTTTGGGGCAGTGTTTAATGCAACCAGTAAATGCAGGGTACATATATAGTCTGCGGTCTAAAATGTCAGAAGTCACAACAGCACTATACTGTATAGTAGTCCTTTGACTAGACTAGAGATGCATCATCCATATCTACTGTCCTAAAAGTATTCCCAGCACTTCCTTTACCCTTCATTCAAGTCATTAATAAAAATATTGAAAAAAAGATGTCCATGGATTGAAACTTGTGGCACACCAAACTTTGCTCCAGTGTGATGACATCCATTAGAATCCTCAGAATTCTTCAACTATGTTCTTAATTAATTAATGTCCTTTAGCAATATTTATTTAGCTAATAATCAGCATGTCACTACTATTGTTATATGCTTTGCTGAGATCAAGGTCTATTATGTCTACATCCTTTCTGTATTCTTTGAAACAAAGCAATCTGATCAAAGTCCAAGATAAGGTTAATTTGGAAACAATTGCTCATGTTGGCAATTACCACACTGTTTTTGAAATTGGCTCACTTGCTTTATGATCTGCTCTAGAATCTTTCCAGATATTGATGTCAGGCAGATGGGACTCTTAATTCCTCAGATTCCCTCCTTATTGTTTTTAAAGATAAGAATATTTGCATTTAGTTCTCCAGGATTTCCCAAATATAATGCATAAAGATTTATCCAGAAATCAGCTAAGGAAGCAATTCATCTGCTGTGGACATTTAAACTCAAAATCAGTCGGAATCTCTGAGTAGATTTTTAACAGTTTTATCTTTAATCCTATTTTTCTAGTTGGATTCCTATAACATTAGGAGTCACTGGTCATACTTCAGATCTAAATGTAAAACTATCAGATTACAACAATAAATGCAAAGATACTGCCATTATGAATATCTCAGTGTTGATTTCTAAAGCTTTACTGGACAATCTGTGGACCTTTTGGTCAACATTTCAGAGATATTTATATTTCCTTAACTAAACAAACAGAATAACCACAGGCGGGCAAAAAAGCAGTGGGAGTGAGAGTCTTCCGATTTCTTGCTGGCATCCCCATTGATTTTCTTTGTGGGAAGCTGGCAGGGAGTGTTGGAAATAACAATTATGTGACTGCGGGTGACCTAATGGCACAGGAGTGCTGGAGCATTCACAACTTCACCAAATTTCAATCCCATGGCAGTGATGGGTCCTGGATTTTGAATGCATTCTTTATTTTAGCCCATTTGTGGTACATTGATTCAAAAAATTATTACCTTATGATGTATCATTTTGCCTAACAAACATTTTTATAGTAATATTATTTGTTCTGAGAAGTATATTTTATATATATATATATATATATATATATATATATATATATATATATATATATATATATATACATATACATACATACATACACATATAGTCCATGCTTAATAATCATTAATTTAGCCACTGTTTGAAATTACAATGGTGGTGAAAAAAGTGATTTATGACTGGTGCTTGAACTTACATACATGTGATTATCATTTGGGCCTTCCCAGATGCTGCCAACAGCCAAGGTCAATGGGGAAATCGACAGAAGGTTAAAAATTATAAAAGAGCTGGTCTACTCAATAGCTCTTCATTCTGTTGTCATGTCTGCTTTTTGCCGAACTGTCTTCAGTCTGCCGTTTCTTCTCCTCATACTACTATTAACAGATCTATAAATTCATATCTTCTACTGACTATATTGTTTCATTATTTATTGCTATTTATTCTATTGCTGCTTCAGACAGTTTCTAAAATATTTTAATTGTATTGTTCAATCTTCTTAATCGTTTTTCCTCAACATAGCAAGAATGATGATCATTTGTAACATTATTTTTAAAATGACTAAATATCAGTTCAACCAATGCCACCAGAAGTAGTCAATGCCCCAACATTGGATGTTTTTAAGAAGAGATAGGACAACCATTTGTCCAAAATGGTATTGGACTTCCTGCCTGAACAGGAGTTATTATTCTGTTAATTATTTTTTCCACTAACAACTTGATTTTAAAGACTACTGTTATCATCTTGGTCTACAATTGTTTGTTACAGAGTGAAAAAGGAGCAGATTTTTCAAGCTATACAAAATGACCATTTGTTGTACCTTATCTATTCAAACAATGACACATACTTTGACATTGTTATACTGGTATGACATCTTTGGTACTTCAGTCATTATATTTATTCAGGTAGGTTTTCTACCTGAAGCAATGACACCAAAAAAGTATTTGTATTATGTCCTGCTTCAAGTTTCAGCTACAAACCAACATACAGATTTTAGGGGGAGATTATCAGTTTTAATTTCAAGCAACAGAATACTGTAGCAAGCAATGTCAAACAAAGACTTGCCTGTTTTCAAAGAAGAGCATGCAGAAAAGTTGACTAAAGTTTCAAGAGTCTGGTCCAAGTTGTTAGCTAGGCCTAGCATCTAAGATCTAAGAGTAGAATTTGCATACAGGAATCATGCATGATATTGTTTCCAGCAAAGAGAAAAAAGATAAATCACGTCTTTTTTATAGGCTGCAGCCAGCCTATAAATTAGAATGTCACTAATTAGAATGTTTACTCCATTGCTTGCCAAGTAATCTTACAGACTTGCTCTGCTCTGTCTCCTTTCCACTTATCTATTGCAAGGACTGAGAGACCTTATGTCATCATCACCTGACAGGTCCAGCTGTTCAGGTGATACTTGTGATTGATCAGCCTCATGTGATATCTGGCTCTGTCCCTCCTAAGGCTGACATTCCATGGACTCAGCTGGAGCAGTTTCTTCAACTTCAGATTCAGAATCTGAAACCAGAGTCTGGGTCATGACATATTATGTATCAATACATGTTTTAAAGATTCAGTTGGGTCCAAGATTTTCCATAATTCATTCCTCCAGCTCAGGCATCTAAAGGGTCACTAGTATGTCATCCTTTGAGCATTTGCTGTCTTGCATGTACATAACATGTTTTTCCATCTGTATTTTTATGCCATCTTTGATGCCAAATTTAAAGTTGGTTCTGTGCAAATTTTTTGCTTTTCTAGTTGGTCTCCAAGTGAGATCTTCAGTATTCAACTTTCCACTGTGTACTATGTTATCTGAACCTTCTCCACTTCTGATTTTCCTAGGTTACACACTTCACAGCCGTAGGTCATAACTGACATTTCTATGATACTGAAAAATATCATCATTGCTTTCTGTTGGATGAAAGCTAACTCATTCCAATCTGCTTCAAATGATATCTCTTCATCAATTTTGTCTATGCACTGAACACTTGGTCAAAGTAGATGTAAGAGTTGACATCCTTTATTGGCTCAAAATCTGCTTTGATGAGTAAAATTAGTTTCATAAGCATTGGGTCTAATATGGCTAACTAGTCTGCTGGCCATATTAAGCATTTAAACACTCCTTGGCTCTTTGGACACTCTTTGTGGCTAATAATAACAATGTCATAAACAAATTGGAGTTGACCTTAAAAACTGTGATTAAGAATGAAAATCGGGTGTATATCAGAATATATAATAAAGCCTACATAGATTTATAGACCAATATGATCAAGTCCTGGGGGGGGGGGACAAATAGCTCTAGGAAAATGAGCAACACACACACGTATCCATCCATTGTTAATCTATCTATTTCTAAAGGCTGCCTTTAATAGCTGTGTTTCCTCATCAGTTAAAAACCCACAAGTGATTTTGAGTTAATCCCCCAAAGAGAGGATTGGATTTCAAAAACTGAGAAGGGATATAAAATGAGTCATATCAGGAGATCTAGTCCTATCCTGTTTAAGATTAAAAAAAAATCAACAATCACAAACTCAAAAACAGAAAGATAACAATACTTCACCAATAGCTATAGATTATGAATCTGTGACCCTAACAAACCACTTGAAATTTATTTACACTTGATTCATTTTTTCATTTATTTATGATGTACCTAAACCACACAGCTGTAGAATATTAGAAACTGGTAGATTAGCTGTCTAATTAACTGTATTAACTATTTTCTTTCAAGCCTTATTATTACAGTATTATACAATAAATTTAATTCAACATTCATAAAAAATAAAAAGTACCTGGAAATCATCATATGGAAAAAGTAGCAGCTCACGCAAGCCATCGTTGATTATTTGAGTTTTCTTCTGAACAATTATATTTTCATAGTCTATCGGCTCTATTACCTTTGGTTTTGCCTGAAAAGAGGGGAAAGTTTTAGTGAATAAAGATTTTTATTCTTGTACCAAAATATATTTTAAGATGCTATATGTATTCATGAACCTCTATGCAATACAATCCCACATATGACTACTCAAAATTAAATACCATTATTTACACTGGATTTATTCCCTAGTTAAGAGTATACAGAATTAATGGTTTTATCAAGGACAGTTTTGAATGTAAAATTATGTGTTTATAAACATATATGGAAAAATAAGCATTATAGTAACAAGATAATATGTAGTTCAGTTCTAGATTTATAAATGAAATGCAATCAATTCTGTCTAAAGAAACAAATGCAATTGATTTTAATCAACTCATAGTTTTTCCATTAATTGATATCGTTTTTCCTGGTCACTGCATTTTAATAGATTAGCTAATTTATTTTGCAATAAGTTTCAGAACTATATATAAACCACATCTTAACATTCTATTGTTCCTGTTTTAAGCTGGAACATATGTGGGATAGAGAGTGATATTTAGATTGGATTTCACCTTTTTAATCAACCTATTGAGTCCTTTCCAAGGATCTTATTATTATTTTAAATTTATTGGCTGCCCGTTGCCTCAGATGGCTTGCAACTTAGAAAAAAACCAAAAAATTGCTAAAAACGTACAGAAAACCCAGAGTTAAATTATCTAATAAACAACAAAACCAACAAACTAAAACAAGGTCCATTAAATAAATAATAAACAGTGACCCAAGCCTGAGACAAAAAGTTTTCAAAGATTTTCAAAGTTTTCTGGAACTGTAGGAGAGAGGGCGCTGTCCTTGTCTCGGGGGAGGAGAATGCTGTTCTGGGGGGGGCAACAACAGAGAAGGTTTCTAAGTCCCACAAGATGGAAATGTTTAATGAGGAGGACATGGAGCACAACCACTCTGCTGGAATGCACTGAGCGGGCAGAAACTATTGGAGGCAATCAGTCTCTCAGAAAGCCAGGCTCTATGCCATACTCATGTTCTCATGTTCAGGAGAAGCTGAATAAAAACTACTTCACAACCCAATTCTAAACCAAAAGATTCAGGGAGACATATGTTGTGGCTGTACTTAATGTATAGGTCCAAATATAATCTTGTATCTTCCATATTTAATATAGAGCTTGAACTAGGATTATAATTATTGCTAGCACTAGGCATTAAAAACTATAGGCACATACTTCTAGTTTCTTAACATTAAAATCTCATGCTGATAAGTTGAAGATTATTATAAAACACTCTCAATTATTTAGATATAGAAACTATTTCTATTACTCTTCATCTTAGAGAATGATTGTTTTCTAATCCTTCGATCACAAATCTAGACAAATCTCCAGTTCAATTTCTGAAAATATTATGGCATCAAACACAATTAATATGTTTTTACAGTATTTTTGGTGTTAGCTACAAAGGTTGTTTTGATGTAAGAAAAAAAGAGAACAGTTTACTTTTGTGCTTGAAAATTTTCCCAAATACTTAGGTTTCTTTAGAAAAAAACTATAAAAAAGCTTAAATTCCAATAATTGGAGTTGCATAGAGAATGTGAAATTAGATTTTTTTAAAAAAAATATTACATTTCCATTCTAGGATGAAGTACAGTTCTAAAGTATTTCTTAGGAAAGTGTTATAGAAGCACAGTGATCTAAAGATAGGTTGGTCAAAGAAAATTGCTTCACACAGTTTAATGCCTACCACATGGAGATATTGTCTTTGAATAATGTTATTGGAAGGAGTTCAAAAGAACAAAAGGTTACATTTTGAAAGATTCATTATGAAGGAGAGGCTACAGAATTAAAACTATGAAGCAAATTATTTTTTTAAGACTGCATACTATGTATCATTATAGCAGGAAAATATGCTTTGTTGATATAGCAGAGTACACTTAGTTCAAAGAATAATAACATCCACATTTTAAAAAAAATATAGACAAAATTAATTTTGAAAACACTAATTTAGCCATTGCAAAAACTTAGTAAAAGAGCAAATATAAATAGAGGACGTTAACAATGATTAAAAACCAGGAAATACACATCTACATTTTTCTGCTAATAGAAATATTATATTCAACTAATTAATTTAATTAAGTTAGACCAGAAAATGTACCAAGACAGTTATATGTCAGTTCATATATAGTGCTATAGAAGTACCTTCAAAGAAATGAATAGTTAAATCTAAGTATTCTGCAGATGGATAATTAAGCATAAAAACTGTTAAACACAGTTTAACAATTATTATCCATTATTACAACTGGGTAAGAAATAAATTACCTTTCTAACTAACAATATAATAGAGGTAACAAGCATGTAATAATAATAATAATAATAATAATAATAATAATAATAATAATAATAATAATAATAATAATAATAATCAAACAGACAAGCACCTGCAACATAACACCCCAGACTTAACAATTGTCGATAAGAAAGACAAAAAAGTCTGGATAGTGGACGTGGCAGTGCCTGGAGATAGCAGAATAGAAGAGAAAGAACTGGAGAAGATAACAAAATACAAAGACCTACAAATAGAAATAGAAAGACTGTGGCAAAAGCAAGCAAGGGTAGTACCAATAGTCATAGGCTCCTTGGGTGCAATCCCAAAACAACTGGAGCACCACTTGAACACCATTGGCATTGACAAATTCGCTATTAGTCAATTGCAAAAGGCGGCCTTACTAGGAACTGCTTCCATCCTGCGACGATACCTGTAATACCATCAAACATCCACATCTGCCTATCCCAGGTCCTGGGTAAGGACTCGATAGGTAGACAAAATGCCAAATCCAGTCTGAACATCTGGCTGACTGTGCGATGATCAATAATAATAATAATAATAATAATAATAATAATAATAATAATAATAATGTTGGAAGGGACCTTGGAGGTCATCATGTCCAACCCTGCTCAGGCAGATAACCCTATACCATTTCGGACAAATGGCTGTCCAGTCTCTTCTTAAAAACAGAGAAAAACATGTTAGAACGTTCAATAATATTTTATTATTGTCACAATTCCCACCTATAATATAGTAATTCTAGAGGTAATCCTCAACATACAACAATATGTTTAGTGACCGTTTGAAGTTACAACAGCACTGAAAAACATGTGTTTTTCACTATTATGACCGTTGCAGCATCCCCATGATCACATGATCAAAATTCAGATGCTTGGTAACTGGTTCATATGTATAACACTTGTGTCCTGGGGGGCATAGGATCACCTTTTTCAACCTTCTGACAAGCAAAGTCAATGGGGAAGCCATTCACTTAACAACCATGTTACTAACTTAACAATAGAAGTAATTTACTTAACAGCTGTGGAAGGAAAGATTGTAAAATGGTGCAAAACTCCCTTAACAGCAGAAATTTTAGGCTAAATTGTGGTCCTAAGTCAAGGACTACTTATACTAGAAGTAGCTTACTTTTTAATATACATTTATTGTTTTATCACAGAGAATAAAATACAAAACAAAAAACAAGCAAAATTAAACAAAACAAAAGCATACATTCAACCCTAACAATAACATCCTACATGTTAAATATAAAAGAAAGAAGAAAAGCAGTTACCAGGTTGAGCTAAACATTACACTAATCTTCAAATCCCTCTGTTGATCATCTGTTATTACATTTAGCACGCAGAAAGTCTACAAATGGTTTCCAGTCTCTTATAAAGTTGCCTAGTCTCTAATCCAAGCAGTTAATTTTGTCATCTCCGCTAGTTCAGTCAATTTCAAAATCCATTCTTCAACAAATAGCTTTCTTTATTATATTTAACAATTGAATGAAAATTTAAAGAATTTTCATCCATGCTCTGCTATTTTCCTAATGTGATAAATGTAACAAAATTTTGATTGATATTCTTTTTTCAGAAATAGTTTAGTTTTACAAAGACAATGGAACCTAAAAGATCAATGTTCTAATGTTAATATTATTTTGAACTGTTTTATGGTTATTTAGTTATATTTAAGCAATAAAACTATTAGCATTTTGTTCACTGTCATTTCCTGTATAGTGTTACATCTGTTTGTACTTTACAGTACAGTACAATATTTACAATATTAAAAAAGTAGGACATTACAGAGAAAGAACAAGTTCTGAAGTTCTTTTTTTCAAAGCACAAAGAAATATAATTTTATTTTTTCTATGCTACTGAATTGAATATAATTTATTGGCATAATAAAAAGAATATTATGATACTACAATTTGAAAACACTCTTATAAAAGACTCAAGTTTAACTCATGGAGATTACATGGACAAATGTTCTTTATCTTGATCTGATTTTAGTAATAATTAATAGTTATTTCTCAGGAAACTCAGGATCCTATCCCTTCATCTCTCTTGTTTCCTTTTCCTTCTTCTCCTTCCCTCAGTTTTACCGAGCATATTCTGAACAAGTCTTTATAGTCAAATCCCAAACAAATTTGAAGCATATTTGAAAGCAATGGTCTGTTTTTATACTATTCTGGATCAGGGGTCCAAGCTATCAGCAAAACAATTTGAAAGAGCTGTAGTTCTATATTGTCAAGTGGAAAGATTTTCAACACACATTATTGTTTTTGCATATGCTTCCTGAAAACTATTTCCTGACTGTATCAAAACAGGCCATGTCATGGAAAAGTTCACCATAATGAAGCATTTGGTTAAGATAGCTCTTTCAAATTGTTTTGTTGATAGCATGGACCCTTGATCCAGAATAGTATAGAAACAGAATATTGCTTCAAATATGCTTCAGATTTGTTTGGGATTTGAATGTAAAAACTTGTTCAGAATATGCTTGGTAAAACTAAGGGAAGGAAAAGAAGGAAAAGGCAATCTGAAATGGCAACCCAAAATTGAAATATCTGCATGTACTATAAACTAGTTAAGTGTAATAACTGTTAGTCCAATATATTCGTATCCCAATTGGAAATTAGTCATTTTTTTATAATCATTCATTTCTTTCTTCAAACAAATGATATCTTCAGAATTTTTTTCTTGTTGTTATACTGAATATATCTCC